TTTGTTTTTCCCTGTGGTTTGAAGAAACAAACAGCGCTAGGAACACCGCAAGCTTTGAGGTCCCCTCCAATAACAACACCCCGTGTATGCCTGATCCTATGCCTGGCTGGGTCTTTTGTATGTCGAAGCATGAGGTCCTGGCATGTGCCAAGTTGCCAGGTCGGCCAAACCCGACTGAGGATCCATACGGCTCATGGGGTCAGACGCCGTGTTCATGCAAACTCATGCCACTGCTCAAAAAGTGCTTGTGGCGAATAGGAGTTGCCGGTGCCAAAACTCGGGACCTGTTTCTGGTTAATGTTGCTCCAAGCACACCAACCAGAGGTCATCCTGTTGACAAAGGATGTCAATGGTTTCACTTGAGTTTCAATATTGTGCCAGTGCCATGTTGTTTTCCCCCTCCCCCACGCGGACACCTGTTAGAGGACCAAGGCCTCAGTTTCCGACTTGGAACACTTGTCCCACAGGACACGCCCTCCAAACCAATTTGGAGGTGTCCAGCTTGTGTCCAGAGCCCAAGGCAGCGCGTCGTCACGAGGCACCGCGCCACTGGGAGAGCAGCGTTTAGATGGGGTGCCAGTGTTTTTCGAGGAGCCTGGTATCGGATAAGAGCTAGACTAGGTCCCCCAGTAGTGCCCTTTTACCAACTTTTTTTGGAGGAGGGTTCCCCTACTAAAATAGACTACAGGAAAAAGAACACCCTTATTCTAACCTCTCTACTGGAGGACCTAGTAGATATCCCAGAGTATGTAATTACTTCCGGAGCAAAGAATTGCGTTCCTGGTCCGTAAGATTGCTTCGCCCGATTGGAGAGGCCCGCAAAGGGGGGGGACATTGACAACCATGGGATAAATGTCCTTCGGAACAGCGCGCAGCCTGGATAAATGTGTCGCAGCACGTGTGCATGTACTAAGCTTGTGACGCGCTCCTGTCATCCAGTTGTGCTTTTGAATCTTGAAGGAGTGATTCTTTCGGCAACACGTGCCGGCCGGCCTTGGCAAAGGAGGCACACAGATGGGCAGTTACGGGCAATCTGACCAAGTCAAACGTGTGACATGTACCTTGCCCAGTGCCAGGCAAGAGAGCTTGTAACGCTGATGTGCATAGAGCTTGCATGGTCTGCTGGGGATAGTTGCCGAGTGTTTTGCGATCTTTACCAGCAGTGCGCCCCTGATGTGCCGATTGGGAGCATGAACACATGAGAACAGAGAACCGCCGATTTCGTCGGGGGCGACAATTCAAGCTGCATGTGGAGGCCGGCGTGGCTTGCCAACCGCGACGTCTCACCAGTGGATCAGAAGCACGCGTCGAAAAGTGAAATGCATCTGCAAGAGCGCTCTTTCACCCCTGAGGTTGTCAGGAGCCTGCAAAGCGGGAGGCTGCGCAATGAGAAGCTGCGTTGGTGTTTTATCCTGTCAATCCCCGGCTCGAAGTTTTATCTTATCCGGGGAGGGCAGAGCTGCAAAGTCGCCAGGTTTGTCCTTTTCCCCCTCCCGACATTTCACTCACCCGCATCTCTTGCATCTCTCATTCGAGGATTTCCCAACCGCTCCTTCCCTTACACTTCTCCAGCTACCGTGTAACAAACACCTTGGGATTTGGAACGCTTGGAGGTGGACGAATATGGCCAGCTCGTTTACTCGCGAACAAATGAAACGAGTGTAAGCCCCAGATGCAGCCAACATATTGGTGAGGGCTTGGAAAGATGAAGCGAGTGAATGGGGAGAGGCCTGATATTGAGACTCACTAAGCATATAGAGACTTATATGATGTGTATGTATGTTGTCGTGTCCTTTCCTGTTCTATCTTCACCAATTATATTGTGTGTTGACTGTTATATTTGGATATATATATATATGTACGATGCATGCCTTCTTAAACAATGTCTGTAATCCGTATCTTCTCTTGCTTTTATCGTATTGTAGTCTTATAAATAGTTCCATGACTCTACATGATGTTTGTGTATTTCCTTCTTTAAACAAAGATGTCCTGAATGTGTGTGCCATCATGTTGATTCAATTCTTGTCTCCTTCTCTCGTCATTGGCAGGAACTAGTTGCGGCCGAAGCGCACCTCTTTTGCTTCTCGTGGGTGTTTGGCCAATATCAAATCCCAAGAGAAGCATTATGCCCCGGAAAAAGAGATGGCCTGGAGCGATAAATATGTATGTGTATATATATATATATGCACATAATATGTATATATATATATACACGTATAGATATAGATATACTTGGGTCTTCCAACATGTGCAAAATTATTGCTGCTTTGTCAAGAACTATGTTTTTTGACCCAACGGCGAGTATTTTTTGCCTGCCGGCAGTTTGCAGTGTTTGCTTTGCACACTCTAGGACACTAGCATCAAACAAAATTGCAAAACGGCGTAATTTGCCGGCGAAACTGCGTTTTTTGTTGCCTGGTCACGAGCTGGACTCACGGCGAGCGCTTTTTCTCTGAAGGAGCTTTTTGTTCAGCAACCGGCGAAACTTATTGCTGTTTTGGGAAACGCGGAAGGTCCAGGTATACATATTTGCGAATGGCGTGACTTTCTGTTTCCGTCCTTTCCCGAGTAACATCCCTTGACGTACACGGCACCCGGCCGAGGTCCATTTCAAGAGGAGCTTGGTCTTCCAGAGTGTTTCCCTCCCGCACGGTGCTAGTGAAAGGGAGTCGGGTTGCCTCATTGGAACAACCAAGCGCCACCAGCTCTTTGAGAAGCAACTGGGGAGCAGCGGGGAATGTATTTGGGACCTCTTCCGCGGGTGTCGGAAGGCTATCATGATCTCAGCTTGGTACACCATTGTTGACTGCTAGTGGGTTGGATCTTTAGACTTTAACTTTTTGGGAAATCAATAGGTTTTCCACCAAACCCCAAAAAGCTATTCACTTTTTGCAGGGGGGTCAACAGCTGTTGAAGCGCGGGAAACGCTGGATTCCCCTGTTGCCCAGCTGGTTTGTTTGCTCACAGATAAGCCTCGGCTTATCCACGGATCGCACGAGTGCTCATGGTGATTGTCAAGTCTGATGGTGCAATGACAGAATCACTCTATCAGCAAGCAGTCATATGTGTTGTTCTTTTTTTTCTGGGGTCGTGAAAGTTAGGTGAATATCCGTTTGATTTGCTGTTTCGTTGGTTTGTTGCAGAAAGGAAACACTACAAAGTCCAACATCCACGCAGGGTCCGCTTCTTTATTTGCCGCAGGTGGAACCGCCATGGTTCCGCAAAGATGTGAAGTGCCCTGCAGGGCAGCGAGTGGTCGGAAATGCATCCGACGCAAGCCACCAACTTCCATTCGCTTAGGACGATTATGATTTCCCCCTGTTGGTTTTAAAGGGAATCTATCACTACTGGTTGTTTTTCTCTTTATTTAAACAAAAGTGGACTTAAGCAAATGAAAGTCAACGGGTTTTGCTCTTGGGGGTGACATGTTTGGGCCAGCGGGGACCCCCGGTCTGAAGCTTTTGCTTGTGGCTAGGGAGCCGAAAAGCGGAGCTGGTATCCAAAAGTATGGCTGTGGCTCAAAATACCGGTACCCAAAATGGGTTAGCCTGGCAAGTGGAAACATGGACCAAAACCTGCGGTTTGCCCCTCCTGTTTAATTTTGAGCCACAGCCAGATAAGGATCTACCAGGAGTTCTGGGAGGACACGGATTGTTTCAGGACCTCCAGCTATCTTGCAAGCAAAGAGTTTGGGGAGTGCCTTTGGCTTCGGGACCCTCAGAAGAGACCAATTGGCCCAATTGGGTGGGTCCAGTATTTGAGGACCCAAAAGGGAGTGTATACAAAGTAAATGGACATAGTCGACAAAGTGTCTTGTCATTCTTCTTCAGATGTTGACGACTTGCAAGCCAAGGATCCAACGCGAATCCAGTTTGGCTCTAGACTTTAGATCTTCGCTCGAGATGGATGAACAGCGCGGCACAATTCGCCCGCACCTTGCAGCGGAACGTCTCCCTCTACTTCCCCTTCCTGGCGTATTATCACATCTCATTTTTTAGGCCCGGCCTTTGCTTGTGATGTTTGTTCGAGAGGGTATTCTTTTCGGGATCGGTCGAAAGGGAAGCCAAGGACAGCCGCTGTTGGAACCGGTTCCACCCAGATGTTCTCATGCGTTTGGATAGATTCAGCCAGGGTTTCATGTTTGCTGGCGAGCAAACCTGAACCCCCAGGCTTTCTTTTGGGAAATCGACCACTTCGCCCGCAGGTCGGACCTTTTTGACGTGCCAAGACTTGGCGGTCTTGCGCAGAGTGGGTTTCCCGCGCGGTGCTCAATGGACAGACTGGGGAGTCTCCACACAAACTTTTCATGGGTGTGTTTGTTGCTGAGCAGGGTTGTGGGATCAAGGGGTTTATCCCCACTTCTGTGACAATTACGAGGAAATCCCCTCTTTATATTAGGGGTTTAGTCTTTGGGAGGCCCTTTTTGTTGTATCACAGAAGTGGTCATTTCCCACAGCCCTCGGTGTTCCTGTTGGTTTCCCTTCAAAGCCAACCAGAAGAGGGTTTATGAGAAAGACACATATTTTAGGGTAGACATGGTAGACTAAATATGAACCAGAATCCGGTTGCATTTTTTAGTGTACAGATGTGGGCGATGGAAATCCTGCAAGTACTGGGATGGAAGAAACCCCAGAAATGCTGGTGATAGGCTACCTATGAACTGGTGTATTTCGTCCGTAGCATTTTGTCAGGTGGTTGAGAGCAGCATTCAGAAGGGGGCTCATCCATCCCCAACTGGTGCGTTATGGGGATTTTGTCCCTCAGTATGTGCCATGGTCATTTAACACCCTTTTACTTCGGGTTACTGGGGATGGTCATGAATCTGTTGAGTGTTCTAGACAACATATATATATATACTTATAATTTTATGGGTTCCTCTGAAGAGAACCAGACCATGGCCCAAATCAAGAGCTTTTACTGTGGCACGTATGATCTTTACGCCATGAGTGGACGGGCATGGCCCTGCCTACTGGGTTCCACAATCCAGACTTGTGGATGTCCCTGGCAGCTCTAGCACTCTCAAAGGAAGAGTTCGGTGCTGGGGGCATCCAAAGCAAGCCATAGATGTGAGGGACGGTCATAGAGTCATAGATAAATGAATGGAGGGGGGTAGACGATCAATGAAAACCAGCAACTGAAAGTTTGGACTTTCGACCTGGACGGAACCTATCACGACTCCATGGCAGTTGCATCCCAGGGAGACTTGGAAGACGCCCTGGGCGACTCGTCAGCTGCCGCAGCGCTGACATTGAAAGCACTGGTCTCTGGGGTGAGGGACTCAGGGTTTGGCCCCTGCCGAGAAGCAAGTGGCAACTGTCAACACGCCGCATGGCCTTCTCCCTTGTCTTAGGAGACCAAAATGGCTCCCAAAACGGATGGCTTCCTTTTGGTTTCCCTTGACCCACGGGAAGAACGGGTCCGACCAAAAACCACCCTGCGGCAAAGTCGCCGTCGCCCGATGTTTTTTTTCTTCTTCTTTTCGAGTTCTTAGGTGCTGATCGCAGCTGATCCTGATGGCCTCACTGCGAGATCCACCTTGTTGTTTGCCAACTTGTTGGCCGATGACTGGCTCCGCCACTCGGTCGGAGAAAGCTGTGTTTGTGGTTCCAAAAATCCATCGGCACTTAGGATTGGTACAGTTGAAGTATTCATAGGGTTTGGTCCACTGGTGCAGGATTCCGCCCATCCACTGTACTAAAGCTACCTTCAACCTCCAATTTTTGACCGTGAGTTTTGCACGCACGCTCATTCCAAGAGCGCGTCTGGAGTTTCATGGAGTCAGGTCTGGACTGGAAGCGGGAGTTGGACTGCTCGACCTCCCGTCGCTTCTGCTGGCCGGTCTTTGGAGCCGCTCGGACTCGCACATGGCCATGTCGTCGAGCGATGATGGATGCGTTGGTTGCTTGCGACTGGTCATGATGATGCTTGAGAGGATGACAGTGGTCATCAAGCAATCAAGGGATGGTGCAGCAAAGTTGGCAGCATGTGGGACCCATTCCAAAAGATATGGCACCCATGAGGGGTTGTTTTTCTCCACAAATGGTGGTGTTGCCCTGATCTCCCTTTGAAGCCAAAAGGGGTACCAACTCCCAAAGCAGACCTCTTGACGCGCCAAGATCAGTGAGTCATTGAGAACAGCTGTTGGCCGTTATGACCATTTCTCTGTTCCATGTGGATGCATTGATAACACTTTGCTTTTTCCATTCTGCTGACGGTACTTGAGAAGAGCCGTTGGCATCTTAGGCTCTTGCCACACTGCGAGACTCAGCTTGGCCTCCTGCCGAGTTTTGCTCTGTGGCGGTCTCAGGTGTCAGGGTCTCGCGGATGGCCGGCTCGCCTTTTTGAGTTGGTGCCTGTTGTTTGTGTTGGGTTTAAAGGCTTAGCCAAAGGGAACCCCTAAAAAACAGACACACCCGTATAAAAACCCTGGTGAACTCCCAAGTTGCTATCTGGGCCCATAAGCCACAAGATGAAACGGCGATCGCCAGACAGCAAAACAACAAACCGGACTCTTGCTCCATGTTTCGCTGCAAGCGAATGCTTGAAGTTGCGAGGCAGCGACAAGCTTCTCGGAAGCTTTGCAGAAGGCGGTGCAGAGCAACGAGGCTCCGATTGCCACCAAACGCTGTCGCTGAGTTGCACAGTGCAACCAATGAAAGTGATCGATCATTGGACGGCGACGTTCAGACGCATTTGGTCATTTGATCTTCATCCTTGGGGTCCCGGGTCCCGAAATGGTGGGAACTTGCTGTTCAAAGGCGATCCGCGAGATCGATTCTGAAGAGCGTCCCTTTGAGTCTTCCGGGTAAGGAAATGAAAGACAACGAACAAAGGGACTGGACATGACTGGACCAATCCCGGAGGGAAGCTGTCGGATGGGACATTTGAATTCTTCCTCGAACACTCTGGCCCAGTACCTACTTGTTTGTTTTCTCATCTTACCCAAAACATGCCTTGAAATCTTCAAATCGCAACCTTCAGGGCAAAGGGCACATCCCTTGAGTTCTAGAACGGCACAATTCCCAAACAGCTTCCATTTCGTGTTTCCATGCGGAATTCCTAGCCCCAATTCACCTCCAGAGGCGTTGCTTGGTCCGAAACAATTGTTTTGTGTTCTCCAAACAGTTGCCCAACACCTTTTTTCCTGCAAAAAGTCCTTACAATGAAGCAACAGAACAGTGGGGCCCGTTTTTCCCATGGAATTCCGCTGCACTTCTGAATGTCGCTCTGATCGCTAGGCGGTGGATTTGATGCTGAGCCTGGACTTCTTGGAGATGCCTCCTGCGAGCTGCGGCGTCTCAGCTGCAAACTGAGGGACCCTTTGGGGAATTGGTGGAGAGAGAGAGAGAGAGAGAGAGAGAGAGAGAGAGAGAGAGAAAGAGAAAGAGGGAGAGAGCTCTCCAGAGAGGGAGAGGGAGAGGGAGAGAAGAGAGAGGGGGGGAGAGAGGGGGAGAGAGAGGGAGAGAAGAGAGAGGGGGGGAGAGAGGGGGAGAGAGAGGGAGAGAGGAGAGAGGAAGAGAGGGAGAGAGGGAGAGAGGGAGAGAGGGAGATTATACACGCACGCATACACACGCACATGCACATGTGCACTGAAAAGCACAGGCACAGACAAGCGGGCATGCAGGAGAGCGACCATGATGGTCAAAGCATGCTGATACCCGTAATGGGCATGGAACACTTGCCGTAGTGAGAGCCTTCCTGTTGTTTGTAGGATATTTGAAAGGTCAATTGAATTTTAAGAGACACCCATGCACTGGGAAGAAGCTAAATGTCCACTCACAAATTGTTTACTCCGCCCGGAGTCGTCGGTAAGATAGCTGCTGGTCAGTATTTGCATAGGACAATTACACGGCAGATCAGACCTTGTCCGGATCACAGTCGCACCCATAGGCATTTGAGCGCGCGATTGTGGTGCAATGAGCCAAGTGTTAGCCGACAAGCCGGATTGTGGGTGGCCGGAACGGCCCCAGGCCATATTGACCGCTTGGCCCCCACCTTCTGGGAACATTTGCTAGATGGTCCATTGGCTGCCATAGAGAGACTCACCCTGAGTCGTTCTCATTTTCCATGTTCGTTGGGGTGCAACACATATGTCCCCACCCCCCAAGATCCTGCAGGGATTGTGTAAGTCCTTTTTGGGGCGGGCTGTCGTTGGCAAACCACCTATTCACCCAAGAAGCGAGTTTCACCATTCACCTCTCCCCCTTTAGCGGACCGCAAACACCCCACAACCACATATGGGGGAAGACTAAACTAGACCAGAAGTGGAGGTGTTAGCCATGGCTCGTGTGTCCTAAGGACATGCTGGCGCAGATGTGCTGCGTGCCGCCGCCAGTCTGGCAGTGGCAGACTGGGTACGCCAGGCGGCAGCGCAAGAAGGCCGATTGGTGCTGGTCGTGTTTGGCGGCTGCGACCAACATTGAAGTTTAATGTCTGACAGCTTCTGGGATTTGAACCACCAGCTTCAAAACGAAACCAAGCAGATAAATAGCTGAACAACTCGCCGCGGCCATTGTTACTTGCTGCTGTTGCTGATGTGTTGCTCTTTTCGTTGCCTTTGCAGCTGCTGTGGCTGCAGTGGTCGTACGCTTTCTCGGTGCATAGTGATTATGATTTGTTTTGTCGCGCAAGCCTCGTTGTGGCTGTGTGGCTTCTGCGGTTTCTGCTGCGGTTTCAATGGCTGGAAGAAGTGTGTGAGAGGAGAAGCGTGAAGTTTGGACGCCAGGAGTGGATCCAGACGTCTCAGCTGTGCAAGATGCTGTGGGCACAGTCACGAGCCTGCACTCACTTAGCGCTTGAGAGCCCAGCACTGAAAGCAAGGAGCAAAGCCTTTCTTTTGGACGTGTTTGGGGGTATTGGGACTCAAGCGGCACCCAGCGCCGGTTGTTTCCTTCCGGTGGGTTTTTCTCTAGCCTCAACCAAAAAACAATATGTAAGTTTTTCTGGTCGAGTTCGGTTCCGCCCCCCCCTCCCCCCCCCCCCCGGCCCCTCTCGGTTCCCCCTGCGGTTTTTGAGAAACGATTTTCGCTGAGGCTCAAGACCTGCTGCAAAGCTTCGCAGGTGGGGAGAAGGTTGATTGTCGTTGCCTTCCTTTTGGTTGGCCACGCAAAAGGTCAACAAATCGATTGCTCATGGGGAACACACACACACACATGTATCGCCACCCCGCCGCCATCCCCAGCAAGTTCAAAGAAAGGAACTGAAAAAAAGAAAGAGGAAGTCAATTCTGTTGGTTCCTTCCCTAAATTTGCAAAGCCTGGTGATGTTTTTGTTCCAAGCCCGATCTGCTTTGTGACTTGAATTGTCATTGTTGCTTTGGCCAACACCAAGAAACACGGCCACGAGGGTCGAAAAAAACCGGAGGCCTCTGTATCTCTGAGGGCGCGTTCGAAGCAAAATGACGTTTCGCATCCCATCTCCCTGAACCAGGATCCCCCCTGCTGGGCTTGGCGGGCTTATCCGCTGCTCCTGGCGGCGCAGAGCTCTTGTGGCTGCTGGACAGGCCGTTGCGCGTAGGCTGCGCGTTGCGCGTAGTACGCGGGGACCCTGTGTTCTGTGTTCTGGGGCAAGGGTTGGTGCCATTTGTTTTTCTCATTTGGTGGTGACCCTTGGTTTTATTTTTGATTTTTTTGGGAGGGGGTGGTTGATTGGTGCCAGAAAATATATGTCCCCCGGCATCCAGTGGTGAGTTGCTTGCGTTTTCTTTTTTGAGGGGGGAGGGGGGGTTCCGTTTACAGCCAACTATCCCCTCTTTTCCCTTTTCTCATGGCCGGGGTGAGGCTATCTTTGGTTCGCGAAGGTCTGAGGGCCCAAGACCTCATAATCAGTTTTTTTTTGTGTGTGTTTTTTTGGGGGGGATATTTAACGTAGCACTCCGATTTTGGGGTCAGATCCAGCCAGCCAAAGAGGCGGGTTGCGCAGGCTACAATGTGCGTCAGAGGTGGCCATCGATGGGAAGGCACACAGATCTTGGCTCGGAGCACCTCGTCAAAGTCTTGTCAATCCTATAGGGGACTTCAAAAACTGTTTTGTTTGTTTTTGTTGTTTCCGTTTGGGTTTCCATTTCGGTGTCCGTTTGGGCTTCCCTTTCAACCAACCTGAAACGGGTACCATCAAAGCACCCTGAAAATAAGCAAGACACCAATAAGATGATGGAGAGGATGAACTAAAACGCAGTTGAAGCCAGCAGGACATGCTGGCGATTCGCTCAAGCCCGCTTTCGGGTGGGTGTTCCGCACATCGGCAGCAATTCCTTTTTTGGCATTGGTGAGAACAAATGTTTGTCCTAGGCGGAGAACATCGGTATGAAGAATGACGTGGACATCCGCTACGTGGTTTCGGTCTTTCCACATCGAGAGCTTGTATCCGATTTCCTGCGGGCGCGTCAAGTACCATACTGCAACGCGCCTCGGCATCAAGGGGGGGGGGTTCCAAGCATGGACTAGGTCCCCCAGTAGTGCCCTTTTACCAACTTTTTTGGGGCAGGGTTCCCCTGCTAAAATAGACTACAGAAAAAGGGCACCCTTATTCTAACCTCTCTACTGGAGGCCCTAGTAGAGACCTGGGGTTGAAACGGAGAAGAGAAACGCGAGGAAAAACCCACGGCGCACTTTGCCAGACACAAGCCCCCGTGAAATGGGGGGTCTTGTTTTAGGATTCGGACCCCCCAAACTGGGTTTGTCTTTTCTTTGGGTTTCCCTTTAAAACCACCACAAAACGGGGAACCAACTCCAAGAAAGGACGCGCCACTCAGATCCTCTGCCAGGAGTCCATCCTGCGAGCCGCGCAGCGTCTAGCACGAAGACTCCAGCAGACCGGAGCACGCTCGGTCGGCAGCCCAGTGGCTTCGGTCAATGCCAATCCATCCACGCGGGTCTGAGCTCAGATCCAAAGCCGAAGACATGCAGAAAGTCGGAAAAACTCGCAATCTTGTCTGGAAGCTAGAACTTCTAGCAACACGACCTTGACGACCCAAAAGTTTGTCGTCCCGAAGATCACAAATGGCTGGTTTTTATTGGTTCCCTTGGTTTCGACCAACTGGAGGGCTGTGCCCAGCCCAAGTCGTAGGTTCCGCAACTGTTCGCGCCGGCCGGGTCCCAACTGAGGTTTGCTCGGACCTGAAAAAACGGTTGGGTGGCGTGTTTCTCAATGAGTCAGGCAGCTTGGTGTTTTTTGCATTGGTGATTTGGGGATTTGATCCCTGGCTCTTGTAGAGGGGAAATGGGAAACCCGGCTCCAAACCACCAATTCGTGGGAAGAGTCACTTAGGTCCAAAAGGCAAGCCCTCCATTCTCCAAATTGATTCAGTCGTCGGAATTTTCTCACTGTCGAAAGGGGCGTTCGCCAAGCCTTGAGGCTTCGGAACCATGTGCTTCGGGGGAAACCGTTGTGAAGGCCCCTTCACAACTTCCCAAACAGAAGCCAACTTGTTCGAAAAAGAGTCACTCCCATGTTGAGACAAACCCATGCATCTATGGAGTGTAACAGGCTCCTCAAAGCTGTTGCATGACCACGTAGATCACCAAAACATATTCCCAGTTGAACTTCATATAGTGGGCAAACTCCACCAAAAGCACCTGGCCTGGATAAAGCCCTTTGTTTTGATGGTACCCTTTTTAGGGGTGGTTTGGAAGCCACCAATTTTGAGGGTCCCCCGTTTTAAGACGACCCATAGGGATCCACCAAGTGCCGATCTCCGTGGATCTCCATCGCTAGGTGCGGGTGGTGGAGGTGGGTGCAAACCTCGGGGATTGCTCGCTATGGATCGCCAGCGCCTCGGGTTTTCGTCGGCTTTTTGTTGACGCCTTCCGTGATTCTAGGGGTTGATTCCCCATTCTTTTCAACCATCGTTCTTTTCAAAAACCAGCTGTTTCCCCTTCAAATCTTCTGGTTTTCTGAAAAGAAGGATCCTTGGAAAGAATGGGGAAGCCCCTAGATCCTTGAAGGGTTTGCCTTTTTGGGGGGAACCCTGTTTTTGTTTTGGAGTTGGCTTTAAAGGGAAACCAACAAGGAGAACCGCAATGTTTGGGGTTCCCCTCAAAGACACACACACACACAGCAAGCCCAAACCATTCCAAGCTGGTGTCAAGGATTGAGATTTGTGCCCTGTTCTTTGGTTTGACCAAACTGACCTTGATTTTGCTGGTTGAAACAGGATTACTGCTGCCCTACTGTATCGGGAACAACTGTAAGTCGCCCGATTTTGAACCATGGCAGGTGTTTCACTTGTTTCGTCTTCTTGTTGGTTGGTTTCTTCAAAACAAGCTATCTTTTCTGGTCAGTTCACTACTCAGCAGGATAGAATTGTGGCACATCTTTAGCCTTCTACTTTGGAAGCTATGTGCGTTCCTATTGATCCCGCAGGTGCGATGTTTTTGCCCGATCCTCTGCTGTTACAGTATCAGCCTTGGCTTTTGCGGCCGTCTCTCCTCCCATCCTTTGTTCCTTTCGTACACCTGGGTTCCTAATTGGGTGTGTCTTCTTTTTGAGGGTACCCATTGTGTGTCTGGTTTTAAAAGGAAGCGAATCCTGAACCTCCGCGGCTTTGTTTTTTTTGGGGGGTCCAATTTCTGACAAAAACGACGTGCCCATTTCGACCCGGAGATGAACGAACTCCAGGTGGGTTAAAGGGAGCCCCGAGGCAAGGCGTCTCCAAGCAGTGCCCAGCCTGCGCAGCATCAAGGAGACGTGGGGGCGGGCTGAGTCAGCGAATTGTTTGTGTTTCGTGTTGTTCGTTTTTGTTTTCCAAGTTTCTTTTTGGGGGGGCGGAGGTAGCCGTTTGTGGTTGGTGTTAAGGGAAACCACCAGGAAAGCCATGATTTTGGAGGAGTGGGCGAACAGACACGCCCTGGGTTCTTTCTTGGAGCTGACCCCTTGAATTTCTGATGTATGAAAGGAACCTGGAAGCAACCTGGCGGGTTTCTTTGGGCTGGGGGTTCCCCAACAAAGTCCGGATGTCCTCTAAACTGTGCCATTCAAAATCACTGGCATGTTGTTCCACCTGGCTTCATGGGATTTCGTAGGGCTTTCTCAAAGTCAATGCTGGCTCTTGGCTTCCCACCTAATGGAGGGGGTTCGACCAGTTCCCATACGTACTCCCTTGGTACCATGGAAATAATCAGGTTTTCCTCAAAGGAAATGATGGGAGGGGCCATGCTGAGGTTGTTCCATCCCCCACCCACGCACCCCCACCCATCCATCCATCCATCCATCCATCCATCCACCCACCCACGCACCCACCCACCCACCCACCCACCCACCCACCCACCCACCCACCCACCCACCCACCCATCCATCCATCCATCCATCCATCCATCCATCCATCCATCCATCCATCCACGGTTGCCGTGTGCTTGTTTTGTCCAGCCGGGGAACGTTTCACTTATAGGGGGGATTCTGGGTGCCAACGTTCTCTCTTTTGGCCAAACCTACCTCACTTCCTGAGTTCGGATGTTACATTTTGAAGGCTCAGAGTCTTTGTGTTTTGCCAATCCACGCAGTGAGTTGTTCCGTTGGGGTACCTTTTCAGGTTGATTGAAAGGGGAACCACAAGCAGCACCCATCATTCATTTTGGGGTGCCTCCTAGTTTTGGGCTCCGGTTGCCTGGCAGTCGGGCGAGCGAGTGGCGAGTGACGAGAGGTCATCGCGCTGGAGGCGGTGCCATCTGCTGCCACGCTCTTTGCGCAGTCCGTGCAGCGCAACGACCTGGCAGGCATCATCCAGGCACGCGCCGCAGTCAACGCGCGTTTAACGCGTGAGGCGAGATCGGTGTCTTGTTGTAGGGGACCCCCCCCCCAAAAAAGGAGCAAGACATTGTGGTGTTCCTGTTGGTTTTCCTTTGTACCCTTGAAAAAGAGACACCCATATAGGTTTGTCTCAAAAATAGGGGAACCTCCACAGTGGTACCATGGTTTCCCTTCAAAACAAAGCCCGAAAAAGGGTATCCTCCACAAGAGACACACTCATATAACGGGCACCAGTCAGGTGACCCGCTCAGCGGGTTCGAGTTAACAGGTTGCGATTGCTTGTTTGCCAAAATAGAGTCCGATTAAGACCAAACACCGGCCACCTGGATGTTTGTCCTGCCAGCTTGCAAGGGTCATAAATTAATCAAGCCTTACCCTGAATGAGTTCTAGCGCAAAGGGGCTCTAGGATGTTACAGAAAAGATCGTTCTTTGGCACAAGCTCTTGAGTGACTTCCCGCGGGCGAGATATGTTTAAAAAACCACCACCCCCCGGCTCGCCAAACCACAGCTTTCGTCCGCGCTGGCCAGCGCCAGGTGCAGAAAGTCGCAGCTGGGGCCAGGAGGGGCAAAGTGCGGCTGCAGGCCAAACCCATGAGCTCCAACTCCTTCACGGCCGCTCGCCAAATCGAATCGAGAAGTGAAGATGGGGCTGGGGCAGCCAAAGGAAAAGCGGTGAGACATGTTCGCGACCGATTTGGGTAATTTGTTGGGGTTCAGGAATACAAGCCTTGGGTACCGGGAGATTGAGCGTGAGAGCCGCAAAAGTCCAAGTCGGAAAGCCTGCGGTACATGTCCGAAAGGAACATGCAACTTGACTGTTCTCGGCGTGTCGCGGTGTCTTGCTCCTTCTGTTGTTATTTGTTTTGGCCCTGTACATGTACAATACGAGCAATGGTCCAGATCCAGTGCAACTTAGTGAGCACCAGGGATGAACTGGGTACACTTGCCCAACATATCCTTGGGTAACCAATGATGGGTTGCTCACCAAGTCGGAATAGCAACGGCACACTGACTGAATGGAAGCGGCACGCCTTCTCGGGGCCTGTCAGACATGAGGCGCTCTTTGCTTGTGTGACCCTGACGAGGACCCTTTTAGCGGGAGGTCCGCCATGCCCTGGCTTGTTCTACTTGCTGAAACTTGGCCAATTGGCTCTCCCTGCAACCCATGCGAAATCGGGGCCCCTTCTTGAAATGGGAACCAAGAAGAGGTGTCTGAATCAGAGAGCAACATGAGAAGGAGGAATCGCAACATGTCACCAACCAACCAGGAAAAATGTTTTGAACCACGTCTTCGCGTGTTGAAACATGCTGAACCCACGGAAGTGCAGAGACCCCCAGGCCTTGGGGTCCGAGTTGTCCCTTTGCCTTCTCGTTTCTGAGGCTTCGGAGGCTGAAGCAAAGGACGTCCGCCCTGTCGAAGTTGGCGAAGGGGACTGCAGATGGAGAATCCCACACCGAGCAGTTGGGATGAAGACCTACGAATACCGACATAAATATCGCAAATCCCAGCGATTTGGTGCAGGTGTTTGTCCATCCACATGGGAGTGGTTGATTTTTGTTGTGATGGTGCCCGCTTTCTTGCTTTGGGGGTGTTTTGAAGGGAGCCAAAGAGAAACGTGTCCCCATCGTGGGTAAACGCATATCTGCAGTGGGCTGGGCAAATGTGTGTGGTTGTTGTTAGGGACATGGTTTCCGTGTGATTTCCCTTTAAAAACCACCAAACAAGCGGGTGCCAACTCAAAAAAGACAAGCCACCCGACTGGTTCCACGGACGCGTCCTCTCCCCGCCTTCTCAAGACTAGGCTTGAGATTGGCCAACGCCAATACTCCAACCAACAGGTTACCAGCAAATCCAATGCACTATGATGCATTGCCTGGATTGCAGCGTCTAGGTATTCACCAAGTTGCTGGGGTCGACACCAACTATACCCCTTAGGCTTGACAGATCTTCCCACATCGTGACTCCGGTCGATGGCGAATCTTGTTTCGACTGTCGAGCTCAGGCCCATGTGAACTCACGGGTAAGAAGGCCCCTCCTGCCCGTAGGCCGCATGGCGAAAGTGCGCATGCCAGGAATTCCAAAAGCGAAGAAAAAACAATACGACAATAACTTGAACAGGTGTTGGGTTTGTGCATGTTTGTGCAACTGTTTTTTGATTTTGGAGGGGTCTGGGTCTGCAAAGTGTGGCAGGAACTGCAAGCACCAAAAATTAATTGACAATACATTGAACAGTTTATGGGTTTTGAGTGTTGGGCCAGCAGGGCCTGGAATTCTGAAAAAGTGTGGCAGAAAAATCGAACATAAATTGAACATGGACTGAACAAGTTGTCTTAAAAAAAAAAAAAAGAAAAAAAAAACTTTCGAATTTGAAGGGGTGCTTGGCCAGATGGACAAATCAGAAATGTTTCAATAAACCAAAGAATTGGACACGAAACGGCATGCATTTCAAGATGGAAGTCTCGTTGCAGAAATAGCGGAAGATATGTTAGCTGTTTCTTATTTTGCACACCCCAATCTACTGGCTCACACGCCGCTGACTGTTATTCATCTAGAGATGGGGGCTGCTCAGCATTCCAATGCTGAGTTTCTCTCCAAATGAGGGAGCCCCCCCCCAAAAAAAAAACTCTCTCAGAATGCGCCAGGCAGCTATTTCTACAGAAGCCTTGGATGACATCGTGCCCTATGCCAGCATCGACATGCTGATAAGTCACACCAACGGGCACGCGCCTCAACGTTGCAATCGTTAGGCCACGTTCCACCCAACCACCAAGCACACATGCATGCACACACACACACACCCAGAGCCCAGAACCCAGAACCCAGAACCCAGCAGGCAGGCGCGCATGCATGCACTTATCCTACGAACCCCCGGATGCATGCCGGCACGCAGAGAGAGAGAGAGAGGGCGAGACGGAGAGAGACACACACAGATATACCGACGCACACACACAGACACTGTCACTAGTACGCAGACACAGGCTCACAGACGTACAGCCACGCAGGCGCTGGCGCACAGGCATATAGAAACGCAGGCTCGCAGACATACAGAGAGAGAGAGAGAGAGACAAACAATTCTGGATTGTATCGTATTTTCATTATTGTGTTCCAAATGTCTTTTGCCACAGGGTCAATTTCATATGAACCCTCCAGCAACAACTGCACAACTGAGGGGAGCCCTTTTTGATGGTCGTCTTCGTTTCGCTATCGGCTGCTGACCCACTCACTTCCTGAGTTCCTGAGCAAATGTTTTTTGGACAGACCATTTTGGTGGCAAAAGAGAAGTTGAGCCACAAAATTAGCAGTTAATGGTAAGTTTGACATTAAATGCATCAAAGTCAATGGTACGTTTCAAAATGAAAAGTCGATGAACAGTTGGGCCCCGGAGCCTCACCAAGTTGCCGCGCGTGAGGCAAGAGCTGTCGATCCTCCGCGGAGCCAAGCGTCTCATGAGATCTCGCAAGCTGGTGGTTATCTTGCAGCTCTACGGAGCGCTGATCGAATTGTTCGATGCGTGGCGGCTTGGTGAGACCAAAGCGGTGCCCTTTTCAAAAGTTCCGGTTTCCCCTTTGAGCTATGTGTCTGTTTGAAGGTTGGCAACTCCTTAAAAAAGACGAGCCACCCCTTTGATCCCGATATCTCGATGGTTCTTGGACGGCCTGATGCGCTATTTCTTGATGGCTGACATTGAGCCAATGGCTGCTGTGGTTTTCTCAACCGTCATGTACTCAAAGCAGCAAAACTCGAAGCTGCCCCCCCCCCAATTGCTGGCTGCTCAAACATGTTGGTTTTCACCTCACGGCTGCTTCCTGTCAAAGATTGCTGGGTCTTTTGGGGTCTCCAGGAGCTGACACGGGCATCATCCGGGACGCTTCCTATGACCCTGCCCGGCCAGTGAGATGGCTGGTGGACAGGGGCCGGAACCTCGGGGTCACAAGACCAGCGTTCAGCTTGGATGCTGTTCTTTCAGCTTGGGAGAAAAAACAACAACAACCCCAAACCCACTGTTTTATTAGCTTCTCTCTCTCTCTCTCTCTCTCTCTCTCTTTGTAGAACAGCAAAACAAAGCCTGTTTAAAAATTAAAGGGCCGGATAACCCCACAAGTCTATGCTTATTGAAGTATGCGACACTTGCATCTGCCGAGCAGCGAATAATCCCAAATCCGAGACATGCAAAGACCCTCACATGCAAAACCTTCACGCAGTCAGCTATGTCGAAAACTCTCAGCACTTTGTTTTTCGCTCTGGCAGATCGAGGGGTCGCATTGGCATCGCCAATGGCATATGTCAGCGGCATATGTTTAACATATGGCTTGAAGTGCCAAAGCGTCAGGCGCAGCATGTATCTGCCAGCCTGGCCCCATGCATCCTGCGCTGTAAGGCGCTAAGTACTTCAAGACGAAAGCCTTCCAAGAGCGGAACCCCATTTCTGCAATGGCATCTCCAAAGTGCTGCGCCTGCCACGATTTCGCGAGCCCCGAGCCGCGCGCGCGACAACATCCCAGCCCTTTAGACAGCTGCCAAATGCTGCCCCTGCCACGCAAACACACACTCAGATGCACAGATTACTGCGCCTGCCACGACTTCGGCAATGGCGTGTCCAAAGTGCTGCGCCTGCCGCGATTTCGCGAGCCCCGAGCCGCGCGCGCGACAACATCCCAGCCCTGTAGACAGCTGCCAAATGCTGCCCCTGCCACGCAAACACACACTCAGATGCACAGAATGCTGCGCCTGCCACGACTTCGGCAATGGCATCTCCAAAGTGCTGCGCCTGCCACGATTTCGCGAGCCCCGAGCCGCGCGCGCGACAACTTTAGACAGCTGCCAAATGCTGCCCCTGCCCACAAACACACACTCAGATGCACAGAATGTTGCGCCTGCCACGACTTCGGCAATGGCATCTCCAAAGTGCTGCGCCTGCCACGATTTCGCGAGCCCCGAGCCGCGCGCGCGACAACATTCCAGCCCTTTAGACAGCTGCCAAATGCTGCCCCTGCCACGCAAACACACACTCAGATGCACAGAATAGCGGTAAAAGTAAGAACCCCACACAAAGATGGGGAAAAACAAACACCATATTAGTTTCTTTAGGAAAAAACTGTTTAAAACAAACACAATCAAGATCCAATGCGCTGGACACTTGACATCTGGCGTTGATTCTCCTTCTCTTCCTACTTGTTCACAAATGGTACGAGTGCATGGGAAGCCAAAGTGACGCCAGCCAGTTTTGGGCACCCATGTTTGGATCCCAAAGGGATTTCCCACTTTTAAAGATCATCAATCCGTTGGTAGAGATTAAGATAGAACACTGCAAGGGCTCTGGAGGTTCGTTCGAGGCAACCCTGACGATGACCTACACATGCTCGGGCTGTGAACGTTGTGGATCCTTTTTTCTGATCCTTAAAAAAGGCGCAGCACAGTATCACCAACACGTCGCACAGCATCGGAGAGTAAAGGGATTCCGGGAATGCCTTTGGAGAGGTGACACTGTGCACTTCTAAATGACTAGAGCTTGAAAAGAGACAGCCCTCGTATGACTCTCCCCGGTCCCCAATACTGGCTTTCTAACCATCGGAAAGTCCATCCCCTAATCTCAAGGAACGGTCCTCTTCACAGAATCCAGCTGTAAATTCCGCACAGCCTCAGGCCCGCCACCCAAAGGCGTTGGCTGATTTCCTGTCGAGTTTCTTGCCTCCAACCCACTTGCGAAGCAATTTTTGGGGTACGGCTCGGCCCCGCGACCCCATCTGCTGTAATCTTTACCTCCTGGGCGCCATGTCTGAATTGCATCTCATTTCGGTTGGGTGATGTTTGTAAAGAGGCACATGAAATATAATGAGCCTAAAACAAGGAACCAAAAGCCCAAACCGAACCACACCAGTAACGCCTGTTTGCCTGCGATGTATGATTTACCGAAACCTGTCCATCGAGTCAGAGGTTCTTGGGTTCGAGCCGCCGGCTCGATTTCGATTTCGAGGCTTCCAGGTGTCCATTCTTCAGCGGATGGGTCAGCGGGTGTCCGCGCCCGGCAAGCTGCGACGTCTGACGCGGCAGCGGGTCATGAACGCCGGGGCCTCGGCTTTTTTTCGGGGCCCTGGTGGCTTTTTGGGGGGAGGGTCCCCAGCCCCAAGCCACAAGCCCCAAGCCCTCCCTAAGCTTTTTGTCCTAAGCCGGGGGTCATCACTTCCTATAGGACGGGGGTGAAGTATTTCGGGGTCAACAAATGAAGCCCTTTAGTGGGGGATCATCACTTCCTAGTCAGCAAATTGAGGAGAGAAACTGAATTGGGGAAAAAGATAGCGCGAGCCGCCCAACGTTTGACCGGAAACTTACGTCTTGGAATTAGTTTTCATGAAAACGTGCGCAGCATTATGACGCCATGGAGCTAGAAGAGCTCACAGGCCGAAGTTTCTTCAGGTCGCTGCTGGGTATTGTGTTGGGAATGATCGTCATTGGCCCAGATGTGGGCTTGAGGAAGACCCCGGGCTCTTATCATGGTGGATTATTTTTGGCGGGGCCCCCAACATGAGCCGACACCCCCATACTACTCAATCAGGGGTTGATGAATGATAGTTTGCTGCAAATGTTAGCTTCGGATGAATATGGAGGTCTTCCATATTGATGCGAGGGTCCTCTCAAACTGAGTATATAGTGTGGCCCTTTGGATCAATCCAAAGTTGAAATTAGGCTCACGTGTCCATGGCGAATCGACCGAACTTGACCTGCTCGGGCGTCTCAATGTCGGTCCATGCTTAGTCACAGTTTCTTTGGATACATGATATGTCGTGATTCAGCCAGGTCAATGCGCATAGGAACCAAGTTGATGCATACACCCCTGGTTAATATTTAAGGGGGGGGCGGAGTGTCCCTTTGTTACAAGGATCCAGAAGCACCCCCGTAGTAATCCACTAGAATTGTTGATTTGCGACCCCTGCTTCACAGACCCCCCGCCCCCCAGCTCTTGATCAAAGAGTAGCCGCGAAGACATGAGTCTTTTCTCAGAAAGGATACTCTCTTGTGAGCTGGAGGCTTCATTAATCAGGTCTTAGCAGTACCCACTTGCGCAGAGGGTTTTTAGGCTGGGCTTCCCTTGCTTTCCTTGGAATTCAACCAAGAGGCAGTTCTAGTTGCTCCTCAGCAAGCAGGATTGCTCGCTTGGCAACTTGGAACGGGCTTAGGCGGGGGAGGGGGGAGTTCCACAAAGTAATTTGAGATTTGGGTTGGCCGCAGGAACTCGGCACAAGTATGTGAACCAGGGCAGCATGTTCAAATTGTGGTAGCCTAGTGTTGGTTCGGAAAGGAAGTGGGGGCCCTCGCAATTTTCCCACCAATATGTGCTTGGAAGGGGGCAGGCTTGATGTACATGGGCGACGCGAGGTGCTTGCCATTCCCAGAACGCAAAGGCGGGGGTCAGTGTTTTGTGCATTGGGCATGTGCAATGAGCCAGGCTTGTAAGTAGCTTGTATTCAGTTCTTTTACCAGATTCTTCGCTATGACTGGCATGATTCCGGGGGTAGCTTCCCCATTCTTTCCTGGGGTAGCTTCCCCATTCTTTCCTGGGATCCTTCTTTCCAGACAACCACCAAACATCCTGAAAAAAATGGCTGGTGTTTGAGAAGAACGATGGCTGAAAGAATGGGGAATCAACTGGAATCAACCCCAGAGTGTTGGTGCAGCCTTCAGCCAGGATCAAGTTGCGCATGGGCTTTTAGAACGTAGGGGAGCGAGCCTTCAGCCTGTGGCGATCGGCGATCGGTGAACACGAATGAATGGTTTCATTGTTACATTGTTTCATGGGTGTGTCTCTTTGCGAGGGTACCCCCTTTTGGTTGGTTTCAACGAAAAACCAACAAGAAAACCAAAACAATCCGCCATTTGAGGGGTCCAATCCCTTGAAAAAGACGGCTTGTTCTACTCGTTCTCTGAAGCGAGGCGCCGGCTTCTGGCTTCTCCTTTAACTTCTCCTCAGCCGCCGGCGCGGGAGTGTTTGGACCTGACGGTGGAGCGGCCAAACTCCTGGGCGGAGGCAAGGGCAAGGGCATTGTTCTGTCGGCCGATTTGGGTTTTTGGGTCAAAACCGTTTTGGATCCCATTTTGGTTGGTAGGTGAATTCACCACCCATTTTAGGACCTATTTTAGTGGGGATTGGGATGTTCAGGGGTTCGATTTGGATTTTGACCCATGGCCATTCGGGTTTTGGGTCATTTTGGTTGATTGGAGGCTCCAACTGCTTGTTTGTACATTGCGGAGGTTTGCTGCATTTGCAGAATTGAGATGTCACGCACCCAAGACTTGGTAGGTGCTCCAAGCAGAGAATGATAAATATGGGTGTGTCTGAAAGCGGGACCCAACACCCAAAACATGGGTGGTTTTGCTTTGGGGTTCCATTGAAAGAACAGCGCACGCTGAAAAACAAAAACACACGCCTTTTGGCGAAGGAAGGGGCCCAAATGGGGTTTTATGATCTGGGAGTCGTTTGATGGCACACATTTTCCTGAGCCCCCCAACACAAGTGGCCTTTTAGACGGTCTGATTGTTTCATGAACAAACCCGTGGGCGATCTCGTGAGGCCCTCCGACTGAAAACCTGTCAAGGTTACCTTCCTTTCGGTGGAAAGTGGGGTTGTATTTGTTTGTTGGGCTCAGTTTCAAAGGACACCAAAATCGGAAAATCAGCCCTAAAAGGGAGTCCCCCTATTTTGGCACATACCGTTCTTTGGTGTACCCACACCAACAAGCAGCATTGGGTCGTTGTTGTGTTTCCCCTTTTTTTCCAATTTTCTTTTGGCACATACTGTTCTTTGATGCACCCCCCAAAGCAAAGCCAGGAGTCACCAAATCATTTGGTCGGCCAGGTGGATGGCCGAGTCCTGAGGGAGAACTTGCACATCGCCAGGGCCAGAGATCCCATCGGATCCACCCGTTGGAAGACCGGTCGGTCGACACGCCTGGAATTTCGCAAGACGTGGGAAGAGGCTCCCCGAGATTTCTTGTTTTTGGGGGGGAGATGCCCGGAACTGGTTGGTTTTTCCTTTGGCTCTCCCTTTAGACACCATCCGATTTGGATGAAGAAGGACAAACCAGTTCTGGGCTTCGCCCGTATTTGAAAACACCCAGATGGGGGCTAGCATGGCAGCACCCTTTTTCACAGAGTGTGAGTACAATAAGTTGATGTTTGCGTTACAGCTGAATCCCAAACAAATGGAGGGGACATGTGCTACCCTTGAGCTGTTTTGTGCGGAAAAGGTAGCGTGTCATATTATGCTGGCTTGATCACCACTCTGGCTCCTTTGTTTTTTAGCTGAAGCTCCACATAGAAAAAAACAGATGGAGCAAACTTCGGATGCCTTGATCCTTTCCCGGGCCAAGATGGGCTACTCCCCCCCCACCAACCACATACATCATCTCTGTTGGACCGTTGGAAGCATGCCGAACCATAACATGTTTCAAGTGAGCCTTCAGACAACATGTCAACAACCCAAAGAACGGGGAACACCGATCAGACGTTTTCCTCTGGGTGGCTAACATGCACCAAGGGCTTGCGTCGAATCCCAAAGGACGGTGAAAACCGGTCGCCAGCTTTCCCAAGCGCCCTCAAAAAGGGCCACGGGAGATCGGACGAGGTGCGGATGTACCTGACCCGGACCTTCGGAGAAGCCCCGCCCATGGGGGCGGTGCTGAAGGCGAACGCGTATGGACATGGAGCTGTACTGGCAGGAGTTGAGTGGAGAAATGGGTCTGGGATTTGGTTGGTGTTGCCACTTTATTGGGCTTTGAAAGCCCTGATTCTGGGTTTCCTTGGTGTTTCCTCCTGGTTTCCCTTTCTTGTGTGGGGTTTAGGGAAACCAAGAGGGAGACCACCAGGTGCCCCTGAAACTACGGACAGGCGAAATCCGCTTCACAAGTTAGTGGGTGAAATCTGGGATCGGATTCTCCACCTGCCAAACTGGTGCAACAAATTGGGGATCCTTTATCCTGGTTTCACCATTCCACCTGCAGGATTTTGTCATTATCCACAGTATCACAGGATTCGTAAGGTTTGGCTGGATTCAACTCCCACCCTTCCAAATCGCTGGATTCCTTTTGGTTATCCTTTCAACCAAGAACCAACAAGGGCCCTCCTTCCTGGTTTCGCCCAAAGGCTTCCAAGTCGCCTTAGGATCATAGGCTTCAACCCACCTGTTTCCCGGACTTGCAGCCTGAGTCGGTCCCGATTTATAGGACCTGTCTCCCCAAAGAACGCCAGGAGAAAGGCCTTTGGAGAAAGCCAGGAGGAAAGCCCTTGGCTGCTGCCTGAAAGGACAAACCAAAAGCATGTTCTGCCATTTGGACGAGTTTATCGGTCTTCTTGTGCTGGTAGCAGGGAGCGGAAGGTAAACCCTGGGTAGGCGGTTCTCGAACACATGGGCTGTGTGTGGTTCCCAGGCTCCAATTTGCCCGAGCCAGAGTCAGGACGTGTCTTTGCCTCCGCGAAGATCGACGCGCTCTTCGTCTCCGAAATCGAGACTGGGCCTGTGGCTCAGCAATGGGTCCCCGGCCTCGCCTGTCCTCATTGGTGATTTTGCTCCAGCCGCGGAACAAAACACCACCTCAACCAGCTGCAAAACAACCAAAAAACGGTTTGTGGTGGCAGGCAAAAAAGGCAAACAAAAAGCCAGAAAAGGAAGAGTGTCAGCCACCGATTGGTTTTTCTCCGGCAACTTGTCATGTGCACGCACAATAGTCAATAAGGTCATTTAGTTTTCCCATGTCAAACAGTTGGCTGAGTCAAGATGTTGTTCGGTTTCTTGCTTAAGCGCGTGGGTTTAGAACCAACTCATGGCTGGTCTGTCGCAGAATCTGACGGGGAGCCTCCTTTCTTGGGCCCTAAAGCTCATATTTACTTTGGGAGAGGCCAATAGGAAGCCAACCACAGCACCGGACCCACAATTTCAAGAGGTTCGCACCTATGATATGGGTGGGTTTTTGAGAGTACCAGGGTACCTGTGTTGGTTGGTTTGTTTGTTTGTTTGTTTGTTTGTTTTGTTTTTTAATGGAAACCAACAGTTGGAAACCCAGCCATTTCGGAAGCACCAACCCAAAAGAAGACGATCCAATATTTCCTGGGTTTAGTTTCACTGGCAGATCTCCGAGGCTGATGCTGCGCACGGCGCCCGAGGCCTTGAAAAATCGGGGACCGGTGTTCCTTCGGTGCACATCCCTCAGTAAGTTGCTCACAATTAGAGCAAGCTGCGTCTCAGTGCATTGTACTTCTATCTAGTTCACTACACAATGGATTGCACGTCTCAGCTACATTGAGTTGCCCTCGCACCAACTACATCGCTTCTTGGTAGGTATTCCGCATGGCTCTATGTACTGCATGTATGTTGTACTGCATTGATCGGACATCACGACCTGATTGACAAGCAGACGACGCATGGCAATGCACTACACCACGCTCAAGCACATCACATCGCGTCAAGTTGGACTGTCTCACGTGAGAGGTTCCATTTTTAGGCAACACAGCTGATGCACGCGCTCGGAGCTTGGGCATAACGGCACAGCATAGGGTTAATTGTAGTACATCTATTCATTACACTACACTGCAAGCTTCCCTACATTGCATAACAGGGAAAAAGGTTTCGTCACCGTACAGCGGACTATGATAGAGTACGGTTCATCTTGCACGACTAACTATTGTGAAAGATGAACAGACAGAGACAGAGGCACTCCGGGACAGAGGGACAGACATGCACAGAGACTGAGATTGTACATGGGCATGTATAGACAACACCTGAATCGATGTTGCCATCTGCGAAGGTGCAGCGTTTGTCAGAAATAGAGAGCTGGAACCTAGGGCAGCCAGGCTGCAGGGCGCTGCGACTGCCTGAGCTGAACACTGCTGATAGGCTATTTTGTGCCCTAAGCCTGTGCCCTAAGCCTGTCTTGTATGAACAGTTGTCCCGTTCATGCATGCATGCACATTCATTGATCAACGTCAGTCTTCATGGAGCCCTTCCGAGGGAAATGTCGAATTGGATGTTGGGAGGGCCGCATGGCTAGTGCCCACAGAAGGTCTTTTTAGGGCTCTGGTTTCAGTTGGACACTTGTCCGGGCTCGATTTTCCCAACGAATCCTTTGGTGCATTGTGCTTGGATGTTAGGACTTTAACTTTTTTGCCAACGAATGGGTTTTCTATTAATAAAAGTTAGTCACTTTTAGCAGGGGAGCAGATTTCGCAACCAACGAATACTTCGGCCCCCCTGAGCTTGGGTCGTCCGTTGGACTGTCGATAGTTTCGGTCAGGTGAGCATGGCCCTGCCATTGGTTTTGCTGTACCGGGCGCCGGGGAGGGACAGCATCTGCGCGCTGGCAAAGGACTGGGAGCCGAGCGCAAAGCGGCGGGTTCAGGGAACTCGGACCAAGAAATCGGCACCATGAGCCCCGCTTCTTGGGCGGTTTCCTTTTCCCCGAAAAGTGTGGCTCAAAGAAAAGGAACCCCAAAAAATTGGCTCTTTGGCTTCAGACCATTCAAAAGTGGCTCCCTGACAAATTCAGATTGCTCCGAAACCTGTGGTGCTTGGGGCTTCACGTTAGTCAGCAACCATAGGCGGGATGCAGCCTGTTGGCTCCTACTTTGGGGTTTACTCACAAAGTGTCCCACATCCCTTGGGTTAAGTTTGGACTGCTCGGCGGTATATGCCAACCTGTTGATTAGTTCAAAGATCACCTTGAGTTTCGCTCTGTCAGAAGAGCACCGTGCTAGAACGAGCTTATTGGGGACAACCCAAATCTCAGGTGGGGCCTAAAAACCGTCCCTTGTAATTATTTGTTTGCAGTTTGCTTCAATCCTTGCAGAGAATTTGGTCAAGCCGGCGAGTTCTTTTAGTTGACCGTCAGTATAGTGTGTCACCCTGTTCTTGGATCAGCGAAAAAACGGGTCGAGCCCAATTTGTTCAACACCCGCCAGGGGCTGTGAATTCGGAATTCGGGTACGCATTCATGTAACAATTGCAAACTCGAGCTTCTCGAGCAGAAAACGGTCTGCGTGAGAAGACCCACATGGCTTCCGATTGGGAAATGAGGGTCCCACTGAACGGATGCCTCGGATGATGCATTGGATGAGGGTGTCTATTGGCATGATGAGCCTTTGCAGTTTTGTAGCGGATAGGACATTGATCCGGGTCATCCCAATGGGACAGCAAACCACCGGACACCTGAGTTTGAACACGTTCGGAGAAGTGAAGAGGTGCCATTGCAATTGGAGCGGCTTCAGCAAGCTTGCTGCATTGGCAAAATTGGTTTGATTCTGGCCCTTCAAGGGAAATGCTTTTGATTTTCCCTGGTCGAGAAAGGGACCCCTCACGAGGGTTTGTGTATCGCACCAAAGAATGTGGGAGGGTAGTCCTACGTCCAAACTGGGTTGCGGGTCCCCAACACTCCGAGTCTTTCCTGGATTTCCCTGTGTTCAAATTGTGCCCTTTTTGCGGTTCGTCAGGAAAAGGGAACCCAATTTGGAGGGTCCCCCTTTGACTTCGGGCTTCCCCAAAATGTTCAGTTGGCTTCCAATCTCCAACGGGGTTCTAGAAGGGCTAAGTCAATTAGTTGACTTCTATCATTGCTAAGCTTGTTTTTATGATGTACCCCACAACCCCGTTATAGTTGAAGGGGGGCGGTATACCACCCATAGCGGCTCGCCATTCCCTTTCACTAGGCCAACATCACTGTGTCCGTGCTATCCATGGCCTGGCTACGTGAGGACAGCGGGTTAGACTGGCAATGCGCAACCCCAAAATAGGGAGTTCGCTATGACAAGCTTCGTGGTTGCAGTCGCTATGTATTGTGCGAGATTGCTGTTTCTCTGATGCTACCCCCAGAAACCGTTTTTTTTTGGTTCCTTTTTTTTCCGACGAGATCAGCGAAACGCGAGCTTCTGCTTTACGGGGTAAAACGAGCTTGGGCCCAATGGTGAGCGTCCCTATAAGCTTGGGGCTCCTGTGAATTGTAGTAGTGACGATTTGTGGAAATGTGGGTTTCAGATTTTAGTATCAGAAATGGCCCCTTTGATCAATGATCATGCCAATAGATGTTGTTTGGTTCCATGTGAATCTGGGGTGTAGGTCAGTGTAGGCTTTAGAGTGAACCAACAGTTCAACTTTGAGGGTCCAACTTTTCTTGCCCCTTGCCGCCCCATTTGAAAGGAATGATTTTGGATCCCTCACTGGTTGAATTGTCTCCTTAAGGTCCATGTGTCCCTTTTCTAGAAATTCGTGACGGCCTGGGGTTTTCCCCTTTCTCGACTTGGCGGTCCTCCTCCGCACAAATGAGTTTTTGTTTGTTTTTTGAGACACATCTTGCTTCTTCCTTTATGTCTTTTTTTTGGGGGGGGGGATGGTGGTTTTTGACGGGAAGCCAAAAGGTACACCACCAACTTTGGGGGTTCCCAATTTTGAGAGACATACATCCCACATGTCATGTGCGTCCGGACATGGCAGGCCGTGGCATGGCCGGCCTGCGCCTTGCGGCTCAGGCGGAGCGAGCAAGCCGCGAGGGCGCCCATGCCACGGTTGATCAAAAGGTCCGTGATACATGGGGTGACCATGGAAAGCACCAAAAGAGATTTGGCTTTCACCACCAAATGGGACGATTCACCCGTGGTCAAAGCTGGGGCCCTCAATGGAATATTGATCACCCCCCCATATAGGGCCGGGCGTGGACCCCTCAGGAACTTGGATTGAAGGATCCCTGAAGGAGCCATGGCGAGAACTAGCTTTGACCCTGACACGCATGGTGCATGAAACTGATTGAGGGGCTGACTGGGTTCAGGCAAAAGGATCCTCTCCGGGACCAACTGCTCCAGAGGGCACTATCCCCGCCGTTTCCGGCAGGCTCCATTTGATGGTCGATACAGGCCTCAACCGCGAGGGCCTTGCGGTCCAGGATCGCATTTCCAGCAGTTTTGGGGGCGGAAGCCTGTGAGGTGTGCGTTTTGTGGGAGCCTCGTACAGGTTGGTCGAGAAGGAAAGCCGCCATTTCGGGGGTTCCGCATGGGTGTCCTTTTGAGCGGTTAGTTTAGTTAGAAATAGATGGGTTCCACTGGTTTAGATTGGTGCTTTTGCCAGGCAAACCCATAGATTTTTGAAAAACAGGTCAACTATGGTGCTAGAATTGTCCGGTCCGAAAACCTTGAGACCTTCAGCCTTGAGGCTTGAGGCTTTGGGACCTCTTGCATCCAATGTTGACAAAAAAACACCGGACAGCGGGTCCCATCGACGGAGATGCCCACGGCAAGACTGCACTTTCCAAAGCACAAAGGCGTGGAACCTGTGGTCCGATGACCATGGTCTTTCCACCTGGATCGCTTGTGTTTTTTTGTTTAAAGCCAATGTGACTGTAAGGGTAAAGTGTCAAGGGGTAGCAGCTTGGCTGTCCAGGCGGCTGCGTCGCGACAGAAGTCGTGTAAAGGCGCAAAGATTTGGTCGCTCAATCCCCGCGTTCCTGAGTATGTCTTTTTTGGGGGACCCCCCCGAAAAACATGTGGTTATTCTTTTGGTTGCCCGTAAACAGCAAACAAATGGTACCCAAAAACACAACACACCCTGGAATTGATTGATTATTTTTGTGACCTGTTTAGTGGCAAACAAGGACCTTGGTTACGTTCTTCGGCCCGAAGTGTTGTTTATCTGAAATGCGGACAATTGGATTTGGCTGTGGGTCAAGACCTATGTTTCCATTTTTGGGTAGGTGAATTCACCACCCATTTCAGAACCTATTTTAGTGGGGATTGAATCGGATGTTCACTGGGGGTACGATTTGGATTTGACCCATGGCCATTTAGTTTCCCCCACGCAAGTTCCTTGCTTGAGTTCACGTCGCTGCGCCAGGAGGTGGCCGAAGGGGCAGCTCTGGTCCTCGGAATGTGGCCCCATTGGTCGCTGGACGGCTTCTACACACACTGGTGCTGTGTGCCGCAGCCTCAATCCACACATTAAATCTAGGTCACCCAGTGCCAACTTTTACCCTTGAGGACGACTTTCCTTCAAGGGAAGCACCGACTATTGGGAGATGTTGCTAGGTCCCCCAGCAATTGGTGCCAACTTTTTCCCGTTTCTTTTTTCTGGGGAGGCGTTCCCCTACTAAAATAGACTACAGAAAAGGAGGGTCCCCTTATTGTAACCTCTTTATTGGAGGACCTAGTTCTGTTTCCAAAGGGAGCAGTTTTGTTTGGTTGGGTCCTTTTGCCGACCAAAGCGCACTGTTGCTTTCCAGGCTCGTTTTAAAGTGGGCAGTACTTTGGTCCCACTGACTTTCTGAGCACGTTTGCTTTCCAGGCTCCTTTTTACAGTGCTGCTTCAGATGGCGTCAAACTCTTGACATCCTTCCAAAACAAAACCATCCGTGCAAATGATCACGACCGATCCGAAACGAGCGAAAGTGCCCACGAGAATTCTTTCGGGAGGTTGATGGGTTCAGCAACTCTGACTGGTACTGTGTTGGTTCAGGAGACACTAGCAACGCAACCACCAGCCTTGTTTCCTCTTTGGTGTGCCATGGCTTGCTGCTCCAGCAGTTAGTCTCTTTTGTCTTCTTTCGAGAGTGGCTGTTCAAGGTACCGGAGAGTCTGAAGCGCATAGGTATGGCATGAGTGTGACCAAGGCCTGCAGACATGCGTAGCTAAATTATGATAAAGGGCCGCCATGACATGAAACTGTGTTTTGACTTGGGCTGTACCCTTTTCGGGTTCGTTTGCAAGAGCAATCGACTGGACACCACAGTCCGTTTGAAGGGTTCACTATGTGGAGACCAGCCCGCTTCATAGGTTCCCCGTTTCTGTATGTTCCTGATTGTTTAAAGGGTTATTCTGAGGGGGAGCACCTTCCTTTCCCGATTTTGCAGGTCCGACCCGTACTGTGGATGAACAACATCCACATTCGCACCCGTCCAGTTGGGATTAGTTTTTCACGTTTTCATAGGGTGTCATCCATCAACACTCAATATGGATAGTGTAAAATGCGGGGGGCCCTCAAAATGTAGGTACTATCACCCTCGAGCCACACGTTTGTATATGTATATATATATATATATATATTATGTGCATATTATGATTAGTGTTATTATGATAGAGTCATACTTATTATTTATGAAACAACGTAGCAATTAAATAATAAGTAGATTAATTAATCAAATTGTTATTGTTGTGTTCATCGTTATTGTTATCATTGTTTCACAGAGCCCTGTACGGGGGACGCCGTACTTGGTTTGGATTTCAGGCAGTTTCAGGCAGAAACCGGGGTGTGCGCCACCCCAAGAATCAAAGCCGTCCAAAATTGCCGGGAAACACCCGTTTGCGCGATTCCCCGTATGGGGCCGCCAAGATATTGTTGCCTTTCATTATTCTGCATATGTATATATGTATATATATATATAGTTCTATATCATGCAAGCCATTTAGAGCCAAGAAGACGGAGCTAGTCCAAGGTATGATCCTGCCGAGATGCACCGCTCACTGCTTGTGTTTGAGCGGGGCTTGGCGAATGTGCAGGACATGGCCGAGCCAATTGTCCAACCGGTCGATGATTCCTTACCTGTTAAAAACACAACTTTTCAACTTTTCGGGTAACATGGGCTATATGTCTGTAAAAGATTAACTTCCCCAGGGCTTGGAGTTTTAAGGGGTAAGTGATTGTTGATGTTTGTCCTCCAAGTTTATGTTCAGCCTGTTTGAAAAGGAAGCCAACATGGAGCAAGCGCGAACGTGTGCACCATGGAAGATGATAAGGGTTGCACAATACGTGGAGGTTGACATTCTATATGCAAATGCACTTGTCTCAGGGAACATTGCTTGACGAGTTTTGGAAGGGTGTGAGCAACATATATACTATTTAGCACTAGTGAAAACATTCTAGCATGACACATTGCTGACTACAGCATCGGTTTCGTTTGCCATGCATGCCATGGGACGTTGCTTCTCGTGCGTTTGAAGTTCCAAATGCAGTCAGTTAAATATTTGCCTTGTGCAGGACATCAGAGCAGCTTTTGGCAAGCCCGCTGGTAGCCAACCCTTCACAGCGCGCAGCTCAGGTGTTTGGCGACATACAACACCAACCCGACCAGGCGGTCTAAGACCATTTCCTCCAAAAGTGAGTTGGAGGGCAAGCAGAGGTTTCTGATGCACCTCCGGGAAGTTTGAAGGGGAAAGAAATCCTGCAAGAGTCATCCAGTGGAAGTATGCCTTTGCTGGGACCTGCGCGACAGGTTCACACTTCTAGCAGCTCCAGTGTGCTCTTTGGCGTCCACTACGTGCAGTTCTCAGCTGCGTGGAAACGGCCCAAGCAAGCCTTGGTGAATGTACCAGGTTCTGCCCGAAGGGAAACATTCTGTATATATATATATATATATATGTGTGTGTGTGTGTCTGTGTTTGGCCTGCGTCTCTGCGTTTTGGCGCCTTTGCGCCTTTGCGTCTCTGTGTCCGTGTGTGTGTGTGTGTGTTTGTGTTTGCGTGTCTACGCGTGTCTACTTGCATTTGCACACACGTCTCTCTCTCTCTCTCCCTCTCTCCCTCTCTCTCTGTCTTTGTATGTGTGCCTTTTTGCGTCTCTTTGTCTCTGTGTCTCTATCCAGGAGTAATGCATAAATGAATATAAATAAGGGGCCTGTCCCGAGGGGGTCACGTTTGGAAGACACACACCCCATGTTGTTCTGTCAGGTGAATGAATCCGGGGTCATTGCTGTGGGGCCTCCAAGGACCTGCTCAGAGTGGGCGGGCTCCTCTTCGGCGACGTGACGATTTCAGATGGCGGTGGGGGTGCGACGTCTCTCCCTGGGTACGCCTCTCAGAGATGCCACGCGAAACGGACATGTGCATTTCCTGGTGGTGATACTCTATGGTTCCTAATTATTGGGAGAGAAGGGAAATGAACCTGATGTGTGTAAATGTATGCATGTCAATAGATGTATACACATGTATACACACATTCATACCGCAAGCAAGAAGAGGTCAACAAAGGAGGTTGCACTCAGGCTTTCAAAAGGTGGTAAATGAAAGCAGTCCCACAGGAGGGGTGTGTGGCGACTGGCTTGGAGAGTCCTGCGTTCTCTTGCGATCACGGGCTGCGGCTGCGCTTGTGATATAGCTTTGTAAGATCGAATCGACCCCCTAGATGTGTCCGATGGGATGTTGCATGGAGCCTCCGAAAGGAGTTTGACTTGTTCCTTGCTTCTGGGGAAGGCCCACTAAAGAGAGAGAGAGCGAGCGAGCAGGCCCCATCGGACGCTTCTTTGGAAGAGCCACATCACGGCGTTGCGCCGGTGCCTCAAGGACTCGACGTTCGCAACCGCCCCAAACCTGCTGGGCCTGGATGGTTCGGGTTAATTTGGGCAATCTTGAAAGGTTGGTTTATATTAGAGTGTTTCACTTTGAGAAGTAGTTTCATCAAGCTTTTTCCGTTGGATTCGGAGGCTAGATGTACATGTTCTTGGATCAGATTGCGTGATCTAGCATTACCATGATTGATTCATTCAATGGGTTTGCAAAACTAGCTATGTTGAGTTTGTTTTCTTTCCGTCTCCAGTGGCCAAAGAGGAACCTTCCAAAAGAGGCAACAACCCAAATGGGAGGCAGGACCTGAGGTCAGTGCCGGCTCACCGAACCTATCGCGACACGACCGCTTAAGCTGAGCAGAGGGAATCCTTTTCGGTATTCACTGACAGGTGCAGTTTTAACTGCTTTAACCACAACCCATCTTGCAACGTCAATAGATCAGGATCAGGTGTCCATTCATGGCAACGCCCATGTCATGTAGATTGACACCATTAGGCTGAATCCAAGGGCCAGTTCCCACCGCATCGGCTCCGTTTTGGCTCCCGTCGCATTGCCTGAAGGCATTGCGTTCGAACTGGCGGGGGGTTCATGGCCATTTAAAGAAGCTGCTTGTCCTGGGCCCATCCTAGTCATCCTAGGCTCATCCTCTATCCTTTGTATTCGGGGACCTACGGCTCAGGCCGGAAGACCCAGTGGAACACCCAAAATCGCATCCTAGCTGTTGGTTTCAAACCGAGCAAGTGAGCCACAATCAAAACCCGCGTAGATGAAGATTAGGAAGGGACAATCCCCTTGCCATAAATATCTGCGGATCTCCGCCTGCTTAATTCTTGAAGCACGGTTCTGGGATTACGACCATTTTAATACCGGGTTTGGATTCTGACTCAGGTGATCGCCTTAGATTTCTGGGTCCATGGGGTGACCAACCAGTGAGGTTGGTCGGTGCCTGGGGAGCGCTTCTCCCGCTGCACTGCCTCCAACTGCCAAGCCGGGCCCAGCTTTCAGCGCCGCGTGCTGCTGGGCCTGGTCCCGGCGCCTCGGCCATCGGCCATGGGCGAACGGCGAACGGCCCAGGTCTCAGGGCTCCGAGTTGAAACACCTCCGCCACTGACGGAAGCTCCATTTAGGAGAGAAACAAAACACCTCTATAACGGCATTTTGTAATAGGTAAACACCGCTACAATAGGTCCATTTAGGAAAACACCGTCTAAAATAGGCAACCAGGCATTTTCCTTGTGTCCAAAGGGAGGCAAGGCCTTGGTTACCTACAAACCCAGGCTACCCTTTTGCCAATCAACATGGAACCTGACAGAAGGTTTCTTTGGGAGGAAGATCGTCTTCCAAGGGGGTCCCCTCGGATGGCTTCAAGGAAAAGGAGACCAAAAGGAAACCAAGGTCATTCTAGCGGCAGAATGAAATCTCCATTTTAAGGGGACAATACCGCAATAGGTTCTTGAATCTCTACATGTAGACAACGCCTCTAATGTCCTCTGGTACCAGATGTTGAGGATCCTGGTTGATTTGGGTTCATAGGGCTAGTCATCCAGTATTCAGTAGGGAATGTAGACAGCCGGTTATGAGGATTCCTAGCAAAATTATATCCATGACCCACATACACCCCGTGGTCACTGGCACCTGTTGCTGCAATTTTGTTTGGTGGGCCACCGCCTTGGGCAAAGGTTTGCCCTAGGGGCTTGAACTGCTATCCCGAAACCACCAGTCTCTGGGGGAGAATGGGAAACATGGAACAACTTATACATAGAGATGTATACAATACACATAGAACCACTACATAGCTCCCGAAGAAGGAATTTTATGGGGCAGCCGTTTGCTTGGTAGATTGCACAAAGATGCATGTGCTGTTGGTTTTAGGGGGAGAGGACCGTAGCTGCCGGAGCTCATGTGGGTTGACATGGTAATGAGCAACCAGTTCAGTCACTCATAGATATGGTTTAGCTGGGGTAGTCGTCCGTTTGGCATGGCCGGCTGGCTGGCTGGCTGGCTGGCTGGGGGGTGGGGGAATATTTATAACCCGCCAAAGAATGTGTTCTTCAAGGTCTTCATTGCAATTGCAGTCAACACCTAGATGTGACAAGCCTTTTTCTACTGATTGGCGGCAGGGATCAGCAGCCATTTGAGCCAAGCGCCCCTTCTCCAAGCGCTTGTCTTCTTGGTTTCGGCCTCATTCTATATGGGGACCAACCAAACATCAGAGAAAAGAGGGGGTAATTACGCTGTGGGCCCTAGTGCTTTCCATATGAAATGGTGGTTTTTGCAGAGGAAGTACCCTTCTGTAAGAGAATTGACTTGGATCCAAGCGCAGGGATCTGGGGATCAAGGGCTCCCGAAGTCACGGGCTGCGTTCAGGTGGGCGCCTTCGAGTTCAGCGACTCCAACGTGGTCAGCGGCGCCTCGGCCGCCGAAGTTTGGGGGGCAGCTCGGGGGGGGCTCGGGGTTGAAATTGGGATCCCGGTGAAAATTGGGCGGTCCGTGGAACAACTCCTTGAGCAACAAAAGCTGGAAGCTGGAAACCAAGACACAGAGAGGAGGTTGGACTCACCTTCAATGTGATTCAAGGCCGCCTGTGCATCAATAATCCACAAGGCCCTATCAGGAGGGTTGCACATTGATGTGTTCCCCGAAAAAGTATGAAGATGTTCTTCAAAAAGGGAAACCACGCCAAATTGAACCAACAGGGGGGTTATTAATTTCGGGGATACATTAGTTTTTGCTGTTCCGTTGTTGGGGTTGGTCAAGAGAAACCAACAGAAAGCCGATGTTTGGGGGGCACCCTAGTTTGTCACAGACCAAATCAAAATGTTTGGCTAGCGTGCCAATACCCGGGTTCCTTTCAGAGGTTGATTGCTCGTATGGTATGTTCCTTTACCAGGTGGAGGATACTGTGGGCCGGGCAACAGGTCTTAGCAATGAAAGAGGGGCTTCTGTTAGAACATGTTTTTCCGAAGAAGGGGACAGGTGTTTGCTTGTTGGCTTGAGTACACGCAGAAACACATACCAGTGCGCGGAAAGCATAATATATATATATATATATATACACATATGTATATAATATATATATATATATATATATGTTCCAGGCCGTGGACCCCCCCCCTCCTCCCCCCCCCCCCCTGTGGGGTGGGTGGTGGGGTGGTGGGGTGGTTGGGTGGTTGGGCCAACCCACCCCCCCCCCTGTGGGGGTGGGGTGGGTGGTGGGGTGGGTGGTGGGGTGGTGGGGTGGTGGGGTGGTGGGGTGGTGGGGTGGTGGGGTGGTGGGGTGGTGGGGTGGTGGGGTGGTGGGTGGTGGGGTGGTGGGGTGGTGGGGTGGTGGGGTGGTGGGGTGGTGGGGTGGTGGGGTGGTGGGGTGGTGGGGTGGTGGGGTGGTGGGGTGGTGGGGTGGTGGGGTGGTGGGGTGGTGGGGTGGTGGGGTGGTGGGGTGGTTGGGGTGTGGTTCGGAGTTGGTTGAGGCTTGGTGGGTTGGTTTAGGGTTGGTTCAGGGTTGGTTTGCGGTGGGTTTCGGGTGGGTTTGGGGTTTGGGTTGATTTAGGCTTAGGGTTGGGGTTAAAGGGTGGTTTGGTTTAGGGTAGGATGTTGCGAGAGGTGCGGGGGTGTTGGTTCACGGGGTGAAAGGGGGTCTGGGACCGAAGCTGCAGGGCTCGCACGGTACTGGACAGCATCCCCAGCATTGCCAGCATCATCCCCAAGATGCGGATGATGCAGGGGAATGGGGGGACCATACCATTGGGGGGGGGGGGGGGGGGGTACGTGGCCCAGGGACTGGTACATATATACACACTGTTGAACCTTAAAGTTATACTGGTAGCATGTCCAGGTGCATTGGCCTTAAATGGTTGTTCATTATGTCCACAGTTAAAAATACATCCCTCCCGCGGAAAATCGGTTGGGCAAATGAGCAATCCTAGCTCAGAGACGCAGACCGACACTTACCGATGCACAGAATCCACGAATCGCACCAGTTGCCAGTGGTTTGTCCCAGTATATACTCCTACCGGTATCAGATGGGATACGGGTTTTACTCATCTTAGAGGTTTATCCGCCGCAACTGTTAACTTGCACGAGCTGGCTGTCGGAAGCCAGCCCATGAGAAGAAGCGTTTTGATGTTCAATTTTCGCATGTTGTTGGACATGCTTGGCCATGTTTTGCAATCATTTCCTTGGTGTTCGAGTCGGGGTTGGCGGGGCAGGCTCACAAACCAAGACATTGCCACATTGAGTGAGCCGAAGCCAGATTGGCAGACAAGAAACACACTGCCAAGCGAAGATATAAATTTGGAGAGTCTCCATCTGGGTGGACATTCTCCAAGTCGGATGGAGATTCTCCAAGTTGGATGAGCATGTTCCATCCTCCACCCGAATTCAGGATTCTCCTTCAAATTTGGAGATGCTCCAGCCGACTTGGAGGCTCTGTATAAAATTTGGAGATGCTCCGTCCGACTTGGAGATTCTCCAACTTGGATGGAGAATCTCCAAATTTGAGAGCGTCGGATGGGGAAGCTCCAAGCAAATGATTGAGAATCCCATTAGTCGGGCGGATAATTTTTCAGAGTCTTCAGGTGGGATGGATCTGCAAATGTCTGAGCCTTGCAGATTCTCCATCCAACTTGAAGCTTCATGCGACTTGGAGATCCCCGAAGATCGGATGTGACAACCTTCAAGCGGCAGATTCGGTGGCAGGGTTGTATGTTATGCCGGCAACGCCTAGTAAGAGGGCATTTGGCGCCAGTTTGCCGGACACGGAAGGGCGTAGTAAGATGCACAGACAGGCCATCAAATTAAGTGTTTCCCCATATTTCTTGGGAATTGGGTTTCCAGTTTCACGGTGGACCAAAGTTAGCCAGGCATGCTGAAACGCTTCCACTCCGTCCCCGCAAACTCGTGCAAGTCAACAGCCCCAACCAACCCCAGTATGAATACTTGTTGATACACCTCCAAATTGTGCGAGTCGTGCAGTTTGTCCATCTGTATTTGTCCATCGGTGTCCTCTCCAAGCGCCAGGTGCGTTTCGGGAGAAACTGCCTTTGCTTGAGAAGTCTACAGCCTGGCGCCCCAGTGCCCCAGTGCCAGCGACGCCAAATGGATTTTAAATCCAGGGTAAGCAACAAGTTGTTGGTTTAAGATAAGCTCATTGCTTTTGGTATTTGTCAGGTATTGAAGATACCCTCAAACAGTTTTATTGGGATGCGGCAGCTTAGCAAGCTCGGCATTCGGCACTTGGCCGTGTGTTCGCTTCTTCGGCTCACAGGCTGCTTAAGAAGATATGTCGGTTTTGAGTACTCCTTGTGTGGTGGTTTCAAAAAAAGCCTAAAGTTGAAAACCAGGCATTTTAGGGGGTCCAGCCTTCTGTTTTGAGGCTTCTCCTTGTGTAATGGTTTCAAAGGAACCACCTAAAGTTGAACACCCGGCCGCATTTTGGGGGGTCCAACCTCAAAAAGGCAGACCCATTTGCCATGCCATCGATGCTTGAGTGGTCTCGCAGGACAGCCTGCTGGTGGAAATCCCCAGTACGACTCGCACCTTCCAGCAAGCGTTTGAAGGCATGGAGGCCGGTGAACAGCACGGCAAGTTAGATGAAGAATGCGGGCCGTTGTGGATTTCCCGCACGAATGGGGCGCACACATGGCCGAGTTTTTCTTTAGGGTCACCTGTTTGTGGTTGGTTTTAGCGGAAACCAACCGGAAGCCGAACATTTTAGGGGCCAGATTCTGAGACAAACCCGGCGTACGGCATCCAATGCTGAAGCGACTGCAGAGAAGCCGCGACTGAGCTTTTTGAGCTCCATTCGAGAATCACAGCTATATTGGAAAAAGTACTTACTCTCGGGATGTTTTCCACAGCAGAAGCAGCAGCAGCGCAGCAGCAGCTGGTTTCACAGAGGAAGCAGCATGCCCCATGTGAGTGCATACAACTGCATATAGGCCGTGGACCCCCCCCATGCTCTTTCAACTCCCCCCCAATGTGGGGAGGGACCTACCCTTTGGTAGGGATCATCAGACAAGGGCAAATCTTCTGTTCTCTGATCTGGAGAGGACCGGCTTGGAGAAGTCCATTGATCTCTTACATTTTGGAGACTGCATCCTCTAGATTTCCTTTTTGGTTTGGCTTCAAAAAAGAGTACCCTGTTTTGCAAGGGTAGCTACACTGGATTTGGAACTGGGCAAACTGGAAGTGGTCTAAGTGGCTTGCCACTTTCGCACCTGAGCAGCTCTAAAAACCCCCCGTTACATGCCAAGCAAGAGTTGTGTCATGACAACGCCCCGCGTAAGCCAAAGCCTGCACGGCGTAAGCGGGCGTAAGCACTTTTTGGGGAAACATGTTGCGTAAGCACCTGCGTAAGCTCTTCTTCGTGATTGCTTGGTAAGCTTTGTAAGCATGCTCGGAGGGGTTGTCCCACATGTGCTTATGTGTTTTTGGTGGCTTGTGCTGCAACCTAGTCGAGCTTGGCAACTTGCCCGGAGGACTTTGGCTGCAGGAAGACGTCTAAGACCGCATGTGCGCACCATTAGGAGAAAAAACAGCAGAACTTTGATTGGGAGCTCTTGGAGCTCATGCTAGGTGTTGTCGCAACCTCCACTAGGACAAACAAAGGCTTCAGTAGCCGCTGATTTAGGAAACTACAGGGGCGCGGGCGCGTAAGCTCGCGTAAGCAGGCGCGTAAGGTTAGCGTAAGCTCGCCTAGCTCAGCTGCCCGCTAGCCCTCGTGATGGATGCCGCTACCGCAAAAACCGGTTTCTTGATTTGCAGCAAAAGCAACAACGCCAAGCTGCTGAAGCTTGCGGGCGTAGTTCTTCGTCATCTCTTCCACACAGTCATCCACATCATCTTCAACAGTTCTGGCGGCTGCACGGGAAACGAAGCCCGCGTAAGCAATTCTTGAGGGGAAACGCTCAAAACGCCGACGCGTAAGCGATGCGTAAGCTTTACATGCTGTCTGACTGCCGCGTAAGCTAAAACATGGGTCGCGTAAGGAAAGCGCAAGCTTGCGCGTAAGCAACTTGATACGACATAGGGATTCATGGGAGGTTTATAGAGTCGCTCACCTGGAGCCAGGTTCTTCTTTGTGCCGAGAACTGCGTGCAGGGGCTGTTCAATGTGCCGGAGTAGCGCGCTCAGTGCGCGGGGAGATTCGAGCATCCATGAGTGCGACATTGAAACTTGGCATCGGCTTTCGCTGCATGAATGGGCCAAGAGGAAGCACCTTCTCAATTTTTATGGCTTGAACATATACCAAGCAAAGGGAAGCCAGCGCTTGCTGATACAGACAAGCAGCCTCAAACATGGATAGTCATGGTGGGACGTCCTTCAACCTTTCCAATCGTGTCAGAGTTCCTGATCTGGCTTACAGCCAAGAGACACTGACTTGATGTGGGCTGGCCCTACGTAGAAGTTGACCAAATGGCACAACTGAGTATTGACCACGCGTGTGAAAGTTGAGGAGTTTGTATGAGGAGTTTGACCACGCGTGTGAAAGAAGTTTGTCGTGGGCGCGCTGTGAGGCACGTGCCGAGAATTTTGGTGCAGGATCCGCCGGGAGCAAAGTGGCTGCGTGCCGGATCCGGGACACCTTCGAATGATGGGTTTCATTCTGGCTGATTTGAAAACCTGGACCGAGAAAAGAAAAGCCATAACGAAAGTCTTTCTGCAAAACATCAATGAAACCATCCACTCAAGCAATGGTGGCTGAATTTGAGATCTGATCGCCAGACATACTGTGGATGGACGAAATCCTGCACCACCTAAGAAACCTTGGAATGATGATTCCCCTGTAAATACCAACAAACAATGGTTTCCCATGATTTCCAAGTGGTGCAGGATTTCGTCCCTCCACAGTATTTTTCAGCGCCACTTCAGGTCCATCGACATGAGCTTCTACTGCCCATCCATGCCAATTGGTGAGTTTGACGCTCTGACCAGAGTGCATGGCAAAAAGGCGCCATCCATTTGCACGAAGAGCTCATCTGGAAGTGTGGAGATTTTTACAACAAGCTTACCCACGGCAGTACGTGTCTTACATGGGAGCACCAGGAATCATTCCTCACATACTCCATCAGAGAAATAGCGAGGGGAGCCAATGCCACCTGAACGCGCGGATGCGCGACTATTAGCAGCCTCGCATCAGAATCTGCATTCAGGTGGCTGAACAGGGCACTTCAAGCGTGCGGCGGGTGAATCACGCTAACAGTGGTAGTACATGCCCTTGTTCATGCCCCTTGGAATGCCCCTTGGCTCCCTAGTTTCTACCTCGTTGGGCCAGGGGGATATGAACAGCAAACCTTTTTGGGGTCATTTTCCTAAGAGGCAAGTAAGGGCGTGTACCAACATCCCTGGCTGCGCTCGTTCCAGGTACGCTCCATCAGGCGACAGCTTTTACCCAGTCGAGTTGAATGGAACCGCCGCTGGCTTAGTATCTGGAGTTGTCCTAGATGGCATTGGTATTTGGTATGTGGTATGTGGTATGTGGTTGAACGTATGGTAGTTCTTTAGATGAGTTTGATACGGTATGTGGTACTGGCTTCAGTTTGCTTTCAATCATTTGCCAGTGCCACTCATTTCCCAAAGGACCCACCCTAAGGCTGGGCGCGCTGGGGAACCTTAGCCCCTTGTTGGTGGTGTATTCCCATATAAGGCTACAAAGGGTTGGTTTGTTCTAAGTCATCTGAGGTACGCCTCTTCACGACAGCAGCGCTTGACCTTTTGGGGCGAACCCAAAAGGCTGCCAAACAGTTGGAAGGACCCGAATCGTTTTGACACACAGCCACAACAGAGCAACCAGATGGCTTGAGGTGTTTGACTCCTTCAACCTGCGTGTGGTCTTCGAGAGAGACAAGACCGGCTTTGAAGAGAGCAAGGACGGAATGGTTTTGATTGCTATGCGCCGAGCATAGCACAGAACTGCCTGCACTTTGATGCTAGGATACCGTCTTGCAAAAGACCTCGCCATATGTTTTTCAAGCGATAGCTGCTGTTGGTGTGTTGTCGCCGGGTCCCATTGGCATGGTCCCGAGCCTGTGGAAGGCTCATTTGGTCCAGCTGGGAGTGTCTTGCTTGGAGTCTGCTTCTCGTTGGGTGGTCTCGAACGGAATTCCCAACAGGAAAGCCATGATTTGTTGAGTGTCCAAGTCCTCAAAGACGAACCACCCGGTCACTTTGCGCCAGGAGTTTCCAATTCGCACCAACACCGTGGTGGCTGCCAGGCTTGGCATGGCGTGGCAGACCTCTCGGATGGCTGTGGTTGTCAAAACCAATGGGATCCCATTTTCGGGTAGGCGAATTCACCACCCATGCTAGTCTATTTTAGTGGGGATTGGCATGTTCACTGGGGGTACGGGAGTTTGACCCATGGCCAGATGTGACTGCCCATGCGGAAGCAAATTGGCGCCGGCCGGCGTGCAGGTATCAGATCATCGAATACCTGGGATCTGCCGCCTTCTCGCGTGCAGTGCGGCTGCCAGCGGCCTGTTTGCTGCCGTACTCATGGGTAGGCCTTTACCCTAGTGACGCCCTTGTCAAAACCTCCCCTGCTGGGGAACCTGGCAAGTTCTTTGGGTTAAGAGCTCGGTGTGTCCAGAATCGGGTCGCTTTCTGGTAATCATTTTTTTCCATGCCAGTGGTTCTAACTGGGGCATCATCTTGTCAACCCTGCCATCGTTGAACACCTGGCTATCTAAAGTAGCCGGGCATGAAATGTGCACTTGCGCCAACTTGAATTAACTCAGTGAGATGATCCAGGGCGAGCAGTGCAAATGAGAATACAAATATGCCAGTTCACCTGGTGGGATCCTGACGCTTTTGATCCCAGTTGACTCAAGTCGCACTGCACCGACCTTGGAGGTACAATGTTTAGACCTGGACACGAACAAGATGGTGTGTATGAAGATCATCAAGAACGACAAGGACAAGCTGCCCAGTTGCGGCCGTCTCCCTGGAAGCTGCTTGCATGGAAGCAGAAGTCCATGTTCGTTCGGCCTCGGAGGACTTCTTAGACCAGTCCCTGGATGAGATCAAGCTGTTGAAGTACATCAACGTGAATGGTGATGTCGACAACAACCATGTTTTGCGCCGGAGGCTTAGTCTGACTAAGTCTTATCCACATGCTTTAGTGAGCAGCTCCTGTGCATTTAATTGTTTGTTTGTTTCTTGTGTGTGTGCCTGTGTGTCAGAGACGATGCATGTTGTTTTTGGGTCTGGTGCATGTGTCCGTTCTCCTGAGGCCTTTACGATCATTTTTATCACAAGGACTGGCCTGCCACAAGCAGTAGCATCCGCCTGCACACATTTCGGCAGCTTGAAGCCTTACGACCTTAGCAGGGAACTTGGTGCCGGGTCCAAGGCATAGGTGGCAGGCACGAACAAAAAACTGCCCATGAGTCGACTGCAACATATAGTGAGCGCAAGGCTTAAGCTCGCCCACCTGGGCAACGTGAGCTTGCCAGAGGTTAAGTTGCCCACGTACGGGACCCGGGGCCCACGTAATGGGGCGACGGCCGCTTGTTGCCGCGAATGGCCGCAGGAGCACTTGATCATTGTTACGGAGCTGCTCCGCGACAATTTATATGAGTTTAGCAAGTACAACCGGGAGTGTGGCCCGAGGCTCAGCCGGACGGTATTGGGATAGAGATGATACTTAGAACTCCAGGTGCGGATGAATTTCAACTGGGGACCCTTCGTTGGGCATCATCTTGGGATTGATTTATGTCCACCCACCTCTTTTGAGGGGCGTTCCAAATCTTAGCATCAGGTGATGAGCCATACTTCACCATCGGGCGATTGCAGAAGATCTCCAATCAGGCGATCTGCGTCGCTATCTTGAGCCGATATCAGAGCCGGCGCGGATCAATGAGAGCCTGGGGCGCGGAACTCTCTGTTTGATTTCTTTGCAAGATTGTTGTTGCGGTCGCCTTTGATGAAATCATATTAAATCTTTAATTCGAGGGTGCGACTATGATCATTCATTCGGCCATTTGGTGCCCTTCTGCTTCATGTCAAACCATAAAAGTTGTTTTGCAAGCCCTCAAGTGCTGAGTTCGTTCTGGGTTGTTGCAAATACCACTCGATACGACCTAGGTCCTTTACGAGAGACAAAGCGCATTTGTGCAAAGGGAGTCTGGAAGGTTCCCAAGTACTGTACTGGTAGCTGAAGCCACTCAATATCTTCACAACATATCACGATACATATACAAGGAGCCCTACGTGTCTTTTTGTCAAGAAGACAGGGCAATGTATGTGTAAAGCCTTTTGTGCTATACACCATGCAGGTTCCACAAGTGATTGCGGCTTGCGAAAAAATATCTCGAAACAGATTCTGACGGCGCTGGGATACGTGCACTCCCTGCGGCTGATCCATTGCGACCTGAAGCCTGCCTTGGGCTCAGAAATATGCAGAAAGTGGCTGTTTCGGTAGAAATGGGGCTCGGTTGGCGAAAGGGAAGCCAAAAAGAAGCCTGATTCCAGACGTTGCAGGTCCAGGCAACTGAAAAAGTTTTAAACATCTAGTGTTGGTTTGGGGAGGACGAACAGGCACACATACGTATATGCATATGAGCACACATACATACATACATACATACATACATACATACATACATACATACATACATACATATACATATACATATACATATACATATACATATACATATACATATACGTATTCATATCCATCTACATATGCATATTCACTTACATCTTGTGAAAGGCTTTCCCTTCGCTTGTGCTTCTGTACCTCGGAACATCCCGCCCGGTCCGGATGGACTCAGGGGGAGGGCGGGCAGCTTCGATTGAGCCCGGAAAGTCAAAAGACTGAGGGCGAGGCGGCCACGTGGCCAGGGGCGGCCAGGGAGTGGGTGCGGTTATCCAGGGGAGGTAAAGCCGCTGCAGGCAGCCTTCCTTTGAGGCCGTGCCAGGCAACGGCCAAGGGCAAGGGCCTGGTGGGTTCACAGGAGAAGCAGAACCGAACCGAAAACGTGCGCCGAAAACGCTTCGCCTTTGGCTTGCTGGAGGGGCCCTTTGGCCCGCTGGAACCGGAGGCCAGGTTTTGCCCGAAACACCTATTCGCGGATGTGAAGGGTTCCTCCTGAAGGCTTGACGCTTGGATGAACTGTAGCCATGTCTGCGAGAACTTCTTTCAGCTATTCTCTTGACACAGGTCACTCTGCGGACGTGACGCTGACACAGGCCTGTGTTGCCGTCACGTCCGCAGAGCCACCCGTCAAGCGAATAGCTCAAAAAAACACTCTCAGAACCAGGCGGGGCCTGTGAAAGAGTTGCGCGCGCGACCTGGGCGGGAGCGCTCCCGTCCGGTCCTGAGAGCCCGCCCAGTCCCGAGAGATCTGAACTGCTTTCAGCCGTTCGCTTGACGTGGGGCAACATCGCGAAATCTGCGGACGCAACGTTGGCATGAGAACTTTCTTCAGCCGCTTCCGCCCACTCCGAACCGTTTTGCCCGATTCCTGCTTGGAACCAGCGACCTACATCCTGGACAAGAGGGAGGTCGCGCGCAGCTGGCCACGCCGGGGCAGCATGTGGTGGAGTGTCAGGGTCCCGCCGGATCTTGAGAGAGTTGTTTTCAGCCATTCGCCCGGTTTTGAGAGAACTTCTTTCAGCCATTCACCTGACGTTGGCTACTCAGGTTGCGTTTGCAAAGGTTGTGGGGGCGTTGGGAGAAACGTCCCAGGCGATAACTTGCTGCTTGGCGGCCTCTTTCTGCAACGGTTACCGCCAGCTGGCCTCTGGTTTCCCCTAACCTGTGCCGCTGGTTGGTGGAGTACACAAATATCTACATGTATATATATATATATGTATGTACATGTATACACACACACACATATATATATATATATACATATGTCCGTGCCCTGTTGGTCTCCACGGCTTTTCCCCTCCAGGGTTTCTTCCTTGGACCCCTGCTGCGTACAAGAGTTGCGGGCGCCTCTTTCTGCTGCCTGGTTGCCCAGATCACGCAGGTGTGCGTGCACACACACATACATATCTACACATACATGCATACATACATAAAAAGATACTAGAATCATCATTATGGTAGCACCAGTACATACTGTGTAGGTAAAGTGGCCAAGCCCAGCATCACCAGCGCATACTTTGCCGGTAAAGTGTGACACCCGAGCATGACTAGTGTTAGCGTGCCACAATTCGCCGTCACTCTCAAAACGGGGCGTGCAAAAAACGTGGCTTGTTCCCGCGCCCTTTGGCCGTCTGGTATGGCTCCAACATGAGGCCGAACATGACTGTTGAATCCTACACAAAAGAAAGAGAATGCAGCAGCAACATCCCTTACATCACCCCAGGTGTTCCAAAGATCAACTCGGCAAGATTTGTTTGATAGTGATTGTGATTCAATCATCAGTGTAGCAATGATTCGTTGCCTTTCCCGTGCGCCTCCCATGGCAAGAAGGGGTCGGCGGATCAGAATGTGACAGAACGCAAAAGCGGTTCATTGGACAACCTCCAGGTCTTGGTAACCCACACTGAGATTTCACCACCACACACACAGACATAAACATCGAGGCATAGTCGTAAATATGTCATAGCGCAACGAGTATTGACATGAATTGTTGATTTTGGGCTTGCAGTGTGACTGCCATTGAACATTTTGACTGCCAACCTGCCTGACTTTCTGCTGAGATCCATACATAGCATTGATTCAACGAACCATGTTTTGTGCCCCATGTTATTCTTTGAACAGTCGCAACTTGAAGGCCAACTTCCAAAAGAGTCAAGCGGCCAAGCGCGGTTAGGAAAACATCCTGATCAAGTCCTACAGCAGATGTGAGGTCAAGGCATCGAGTCCGTCGCAAGCGAAAGGTGTCCAGGGGTCGCAAAGGCTTCAGAAGTTCAGACGCATGGCCATGGTGTCCACCTTTTTCTCGGAGCTCCCCAAGTGCCAAGTGGCTCAGCGAGCTGGATCATGTACCAACGAGTCTCGAGTTGACAACCCACTGGAGCTGAAGCCGGGTTGTGAGGCTAAGGGAGACTTGAATCGATGGAACGAATGCCTACGGCTCATAAAATCGTGTTTTACCAAAGAATTATGGTGGATTCAAGCACGGAGCTTGCGGCAGGTCATCGACTTTGGGTCCTCGTGCTTTGTGGACGACCACCTCTCTTCCTATGTGCAGTCTCGGTCCTACCGCGCCCCTGAGGCAGGAACGATGTTGGAACCGTGGGACCCGTTTGGGATCCGTTTGGCCCGCTTATGGAAAGTCCAAGGGGGCTATAGGCCAAGGGACATCGCGCAGAGATGCGCAAACCAGCAGGTTCAAAAGTCGATTACAAACGACTTTTGCTACAGGTCAAAATAACACCACCAGGGGACCGCAGGTGTCAGTTTTCGTTTTCCTTTTTCCAGGTTTTATTTTGGGTATACCAGCCCTCAGGCACTTAGGCCCTTGCCAGCACTTTTCTCCAGCTTCGGCCATTTGTTGCCTTTGGGATTTGTTTGCCTTATTTGTTTTGCGGTAACAAGTTTCTTGTAAAACATGTGTCTAATCCCTCCTGTGGTATCAACAGCTGGGGCAACATTGGACAAGTTCCTTCCAGCCAGCAGAAAGTTGTGACTTTCTGGGGGGGGATCCGTTTGTCGAGAGGTGATGCTGGGCCTGCCCTACGATCAGAAGATCGACCTGTGGTCCTTGGGCTGCATCATCGCGGAGCTGTGGACAGGCCGAGCCGCGTCAAACAAGAGCCGTCGATGGCACTGGAAGCTGTGGAGGTCGTCTGGCCCAAACGTGAACAAGCCAGTGGTGGAACTGAAATGCTCCTCCTGAGCGTTGCCGTGACATTCGTGGAACTGATGTGCTCCTCCTGAACGCTTTGCTGTAGATTGATGTCCAAAATGATCAAAGCGGAACTCTGGCTGCTCCATGTACACATTGTGTGTTGATTGTGACGCGCATTGAGCCTTGCCATGGAAGGCTTGATTTTGCGTCAGGCTACGTGCTTTTCCAGAACGACTCAGCTGGGAACTTGAGTGATTTCCCGTTCAGTTCAAGCATATGGTGTGGTTTGGGGTAGGGACAAATGGGGAAGTGACCACCGGGAGACTGACGCGACAAGTGTCGAACCAAGGTTCAGAGTCTGCTGGCTCGAATCCTGGGCATCGTCGGCGACTTTCCGAACTGCCCTCAGCGCGAGATGGTTTGGCACATGTTGGCCACAGATGCATACGACCGGAAGAGGGCACTTTTACCCAAGGTACCCCATGATGACCAGCGGGAAGTACGTCCCACAGTACTTCACTCAGGACATTGTGATCTGATGCTGATGCCCGTGAACCAGGGAATCTGAATGAAATGCATCTCGTTTGGGACAAACAGGTTCTAGCTTGCTTCTCACCACATTCGTACAGAATGCCAGAAAATCCACTTGCTAGAACCCTCTCGGTAGAGCCCCTTGTTTGGAGTCCGTTTGTCAGAACAGTGAGGCCAACCAAAGAGACAAAACGCACGGCTGACCGGCTTTCAGCAGCTACAAGGCGACGCATCTACGGACATTTGCAAAGTTGTCCTTACCCTTTGTCCGATCGTGGACGGGGAGTGGGAGGTCCCAAAAATGTAGTCTTCCAAACCCTGATCGCGGAGGCAGGAACCCCGTGGAGTTTTAGGCACGCAGATGTCCATTGCCACCAAATGAACTCAGGGAAGAATGGCAGTCTGCCCCTGCATTTGAGAATTGAATTTCCTTTGGGGTGATGTTTGATGTGCACGTAATTGGAACGCGTAGATCTCATTCTTGGTGTTTGGTTGGCAATACACGTATTTCACTAGTTCTGTTTTTTTGTTTCAGTTTCGTTCCAATGATTTACCAGTCGAATCCGTCTATTTGTCCAGGAGGTTTCAAGATGACTCCCAGGCCAGTGGATCCATCACCAAGGGAGCCACCCTTTGAAACCCTTCAAGGAAAGTAGCTGGTTACCTGATAAGTATATGGGTATGGGTCAAAATTAACCCACCAGCCGACCGACCGCAGATTTTAGTCCATGGTTCCATTTACCAGGGCAAGCCATTTTGGGTACATATGTTTGACCCAGAGCCATATGGGCTTGCCTGGGATGCTCTACCACAACAAGACACCTATATTTTTTCTCTTCGAAACTCCATGGGTTTGGCCTCGTCAGGACGGCCAGCTGTACCAGGAGATCGAAGGGCAGCCTTGCCCAGAGCGAGGGCGTCGCTTGCACCTTCTGGTGCCCCACGCGATTCATCGATGGGATCGATGGACGCCCCCCTCAACATGGCTCAACTAGGTACCCCCAGTGCCACTTTTACCGTTTCTTTTTTGGATGAGGGTTCCCCTAAAATAGACTACCGAGAAAAATCGGGTACCCTTATTCTAACCTCTCTGCTAGAGGACCCAGGCAACATGGAGCCCAAAAACGGGGTTCTTGAACAGGAGGGTCATAAATTGATGGCGTTTGGGCTTCCATGTCAGTTTTGGCGTGTCCCTTGATGCCTTTTTTTGGGATGGTGTGGCTGATTTTAAGGGGAAGCCAGAAGAACAGTGACCACTTTTGGGGTACCCCTTAAAAACAAGACACCCCCTCAAAATGGCCAAACGGTTTCCCGTTGGTTTTCCCCCAATCCAACCAATGGTACTCAGAGAAAGGCACCCAATGCGATTTAGAACGTGACCCTTTCTACTTTTTTCGGGGAGAATGCAGGTGTATATAAGGGAGGGGTATTTTAGGGGTATATAAGGGAGGGGTATTGAAAAGGTCCCAAAATAATTCCGCACCCTTATATGAGTGCCTCTTAACCTTTCGCTGCTCCGAGTCGTATTTGTCTTGAGTCGTCCCAACAGGGTTAGCCCTTTTGTCCAGCTCCTTTGAAAGGTGAGTTGAGGTCCCTTCAACCCCCCCCCCCGGAAGGCAAGGATTCTGCAGGTTCCTTGCACAATGCCAAGAGTTCCAACCAGATGTCCTTTTTAGGTTGATTTGTTAGACATATATAAGTTCCACTGCCTCCAAAGTGTCACCGGAGATTGAAGAAGGTTGCTACCAGCGCAAATGGCGAGGGGGGGCAGCAAAGCCGCTAGGTGCCAAAGAAGACGTCGATGCGCCAGCGCATGCGCCACAGTCCCAGAGCCCATTCAAGCCCATTTGTGTGGGTAATCTGGTGTGCCCAGTCTACAGGTGAATGGATCTATTGGGAATGAATAGCGGGTTTCTTCTCGTTTGGTGTAGGTTCCATCAGAAGGCAACAGGGAGATCATGTAAAATTCCTTGGTTACTTCCTATGGCTGGTCTGGATCCACCAGACATCCTGAATGTGTCCGGCCATTTCGGATTGTATTTGAAGGACAGCTCGAAGGAAACTGAGCTTTGAAGGGAGGCTCCCATTGGTCATGGAGTTTGAAGGCACTGGGGATGAAGTCTTTCTGGACTTCCTGACGCAGTTGCTGCAGTCCCGACCTTGACGGCCCCGTTTCGTGTGCAAAATGGCCATGGGTCATAACCAATGCCTCTATTTTGGGGCGGATGAACACCAATGTACCACCTGTTTTGATGTTCACCAGGGGTACAGGGTTTTGACCCACAGCCAAATGATGGATTAGTACTGGCCCGCGCATTGCGGGAAATCCGCCATTGGGGGAGTCCCTTTGAGTCGAAGCGGAGACCTAGAGCAAAATGTGGAGGGCGAACGTGCTGGGTGCTCCTGGTAGTTTTGCCAATTCTGGTTCAAAATTAAACCACCAAAGGACCGCAGGTTTTAGTCCGTGGTTCCATTTACCAGGGTTCCATTTTGGGTACATATGTTTGACCCACAGCCATGTACCTTTAGCCATGACGTATGTGGTCTTTGGTCTGCGGTATATTGCAGAGGCACTTGCACCATCGGTTGGCCTTGTGACCTGGCTGCCTGGCTACCTTACCTTGCCACCTTGTTTGGTTCCTTGTTTGCTTGTGCTTTTTGAATGTTTGCTTGTTTGTTTTGCTTGCTTGTTTGTTTGTTACTCCCGAGTTCCCTCCCGAGTTCCTGGATTTCTCACTTACGACCATTTTGGCAAAGATCAACGTTTTGGGACTTCCCTTGGCCCGCTTGGCCCAAGTCCCATCCAGCGCGTCCACGTCGCCGCGCGCGTCCGAGGCTGGATCCGAGCAAACGGCCCACTGCCGCAGAGGCGTCCAAGCACCCGTTCTTGGCGCCCGGCAGGCGACCGCTTCGCGCCTCGCGTTCGCCTGGAGGTCAAGGGCAACCAACAGGAAACCTCTCGGGAATGCCCGCATTTGTTGTTTGGTTTGGGGCAACATGTCACCCTTGAATGGAAGCAATGACCAAAATCCTGCGGAACCCTAGCTCTTTCGTTTTGAGCCGTATTTGTTCTGGGCTTGGGCGTTTTTGCCGCCGGTTCCGCGGATCATTTGATTGCGGCTATCGGTGCCAGGTACCCCGATGGATTGTGAGTGCAGCGTCTGGCCGGCGTGTTCCACAACAAAGTGGCCGCGGCCGGCCGAAGATCTGGGGTTGCATCGCGCAAGCTGCACCAGAGAACACCATCCCGGACTTGGGCGGCGAGGGCCCCGCGTGTTCTCATGGAAAACCGATGTGGGAAAACAGAATGGAGCGCAGCATTCATTGTTTGCAGTTGTGCCAACTAGTTGGATAGGCGTTCGAACTCGTGTCGGTCACATTTCTCCAGTTCTTGGGGCGAGGCTTCGCTGCAAGCTGAATGTTTGCATGGCGCTCGAGAGACGAGCACCGCGAATTCAAAAGCCGCGCTATGCCGAGGCCGATAGGCCGATAGGCCGAGAAGGGGGATCACTTAGGAGTCTGTTATGGCAACAAGTACATCCCAGCCTCCAAGTGATACATCCCAGCCTCCAAGTGATACATCCCAGCCTCCAAGTGATACATCCCAGCCTCCCGGCTGGATGTATACAGTTTGAATAGCTCATGACTCACCTGCCAGTTTTACTCCAAACTCAGGCGATCAGTTTGGCCAATGTCCGAGTTGACTCCTCTCGCGTTGCAACGGACCAAAGCTCGCGAAGCGCCCACGCAGAATCCCGGACTTCACGGAGGACGCAGAGACGCTTTCATGGGTCTGTGTCTGAGACACCCCAGCGCCACAATCAAACCTGGATGGGCGAAGGTAGAGGTAGTCCCAGACACAAATGTTGGGTGCAGTCGCGCTCTGGATTCTTCAAATGGTTCTGGTCCTTTACTCTCGAGACAACATAGATGCTGAGTTTTCTTGCCAGCCTTTTGCCATATGCTCTTTTGGTTACGAAAGGATTTGACACCCAAAACTCCAATTGGCCATACTGGGTGGTTCTACTACCTGATGTAGCAAGGTCATAGTGAGGCCTACGTAAGCCTTCAACTATAATCATGTTAGTAGATTTCCAACAGTCAATGGGTGTTGGGCGCTGCTTATTTGGCCTTTCCTGGTTTTCCAAGAGGGAAGAATCGGATTGGCC